GGCAGGGGTGCAACAGAATGTTAAGATTGGGGTGAGGTGAGGGGGTGGCTGCAAACTGATGAAGTCCGGGCTGGGTTTCTCCTTTCATTTCAAGGATACTGATGAATGGCACCTCACTGTGAATGAACAGAGTAAACAGGATAGCAGGTAGGCCCTTGGCATGTTGCCATGCCAACGGAGAAGAAATATATTTTCATTTCATTTGCCGCGCATAAATAGCGGGAGGAGATGTGGGGTTATAGAGACTGTGCTTTGTGAGCCTCTGACAATTTAATAGCCACTGCAGAAGCTGCTCGCATTGCCCGCATTGCCCGTGTTGCCCCCTGCACACCCAGGCTCTAAAGGGACAGCGACCAGCTGCTCATCTCCACAGCACGACGCTGCTTTTGGGAAACCCTGACCGTACATTCAAGCTTGAAAATCATAATGATAAACTAGGACTGTATGCAAGACACAAGACTATTCTGATAGCAGCATCACAGGAGAACTGACGCCCTCTCGCATTGTGCGATCGAGCGACACGTGAAATGTCCTGGGGAGGGAAGGGGGTAAATAGCCATTTGTCCAGAAAAATATTCCCGATAAAACTTTCATCCAGGCAAAACATAGTATTTTTGTTAGAGGTCTGGTAGGTTTAAGAGTCGATGTCACAGACTGTCACGGTAAAGTTTGCACCACAGGCTATAATCAAGGCTTGACACCCAATCTACACCCACAGTCTGGCTTACAAGATGGGCCACAAGCCTGACGAGCATCAGCAAAGATGTTTCATTTTGCTTCCGATGTTTCAGGGCGGAAAAGCCAAGAGGGAATGGTGACCAGAACGGTGGACGGTGGAACGGTGACCAGCTGACATATTTTTATGTTATTTGACATTTTTAAAGAGTCCCAACTAAATTAAATGCTGTCCAGCACATTTCCTGTGGTGGGAATCAACACTAAACGGGGTGCATTTCACGTCATCGACGTCTGTCAGGGACACAGGCAGGGGTACCATCTGCAGTGCAGGAGAGCAGGATTTCAATAACACTATAGGCCTGCCCCAGAAGAATGGAAATAATATGTCATTCTGCTACAATATAATTAATTTTTTTAATTGGAGGGATTAATCTCATCCTCTCATTGTCTTTACCTTTTCATGGCACCAGTCATTCATGGGAAAGAGTCACCTGTGGCGGCTCAGTGGCTCAGTGCGTAACACTGAGACTTCACACCTTCCAAGTCTGTGCTGCACCCTAGGCTGTCATTGCAAAAAAAATGCTTGTTGGGTGAATTCGTGACTGATGAGCCTTTAAGGTTTACAAGAGCACCCTCAGTCCATGGGTGTACCCTGGCTTACCCTTCAAACCATGGTAGCCATATACTTAAAGCTGATTTTAACAAGTGACGGATGTTCACTGGATTATTACGGACAGCTGTGACAATCAATAACCAGTTAGATTTGTGACTAAAATGACTTGGGCTCAAATCCTAGGATGTCTGGAAGTAGAAACCAGCAAACAAGTTAGCTAACTTTAGTTGTAATTATATATATATATGCATGTACAGAGATTAAACTCTCAAGATATATAATTTGAATGTAACTACTACTTAACTTTTATTTTATTAATTATCCAAAATGTAGTGGTAATTTGAAATAGTGGTACTTATTGAAGTGTTTTTCAACATTTAGGTATTCTAGTGGAAAGCCTACACGACAAATACTGTAGTCTGTTTTGCCATGGCATTTGCAACACATTAATCTATGTGACAGCATTTGTCCATAAAATGCCTGCTGGGCGGACTGTTGCATGACAATTAGGTGTGTGTCACAGTTTAAATACTTCTCTATGTCTATGAATACATAATTTCAATTGGTTTAACCACATTTCAGACATCATCATAGTACAATATATATGACAGATTTTTTTCATAATGACATGTCACAGCAGTAACTGAAGCCATTTCCTTCTCATGCTTCGTTCATACCCTTCACATCAAACGTCACGTAGCGTTTATAGAGACGCTAAGCTGTGAGAAGAGACCCTGTGTGGTTTTTTTCAGTGTAACTTTTCTGCCATCTGCTGGCTGAGGTGTGAGGTTACACCAAATTGCTTTTCCCCGACAGACACTGGGTTTTATATCTTTTTTATTGCAGTAATTTAGAGAAAACAATGCTAGAGATCAGCTGACATATCTTTAGCCATATTGCTGTAAACAAGAAGAGTGTGCGTGCGTGTGTGTTGCTAGACTATGTTGATAAACATACTTTGAAATGATTGCCGAACAACTGTGAAATTAGATCAAACTCTTCTGTTGTTGGTGCCAGCCTATTGTGATGGGATTTTTATTTTTTTTTAATCATTCTTTGAATGAAAATTCGTTAGAGAAAGGAGCACAACAGAACATTCCCTAGAATGTTGTTGTTTCTTGTGTCCAGTGCTTCAAGAGTAGCCCTTGAAGAGCAGTTGTACAATTATTCAGAACTAATGATCTGTTTACATTTTAGCCCCGAAGACTAAGCCTCATTATCTGCAGAGAATAAATGATCTTGAAACAGCCGCTGTTCCAAATTGCCATGTACACTTCCTCCCCTTCTGCACTAATGGCTCCAGCCTAAAACAGGGGTCGTTCTAAGCAGCCAATATCTGTAAATCATCCATTTCCTTCTCTGTGATGGAACATGCACACAGCAGACCATTAGATGCTGAATATGCCATTTAGACCCAGCTGATGTATCACCTTGAACTGTAAATAATTGGTGACAGCTGGTCTCATTGTGGGTGAAAAAGTGACCAGTTTTCCAAATTGTTCTTAAGCAGAGAAAATATCTGTATCCAAGGCTATAAATGGTGAGCATTATTGCACTGACCTCTCATAGTATGAAGCATTTAAGCTTGTGGGAGTTTTACTTACACAAAAATGTTCTGAGGGCAGAAAGAAAAATGATTGACTGAGGGATAACCAATCAGATTGTAGAGGAAGTGGCTCCAAGCAACTAGAGAAGGCAGGATGAAGCCATCTGATTGGTTGGACCCACCTCCTCTATAATCTGATTGGTTCTGAGATAACCAATCATTTTTCATTCTGCCATCAGAACATTTTTGTGCAAGTAAAACTCCCATATTTTATCTTAAACAAGCTCACATGTTGAGAGGAACCAAACTTTAGAAAGTACATTGGGAGGAATTTTTAGACTTCCCTAAGGTAGAACAAGTGTCAGAGAATTATTTAACCTAAAATGCTGCTTTTACATAGTTTTATGTAAGTTTTATTTACTTGTACTGTATTTTTGTTTTGTTATTAATTTTTTTTTATTTAGTTATTATTGGCCTCTGGTCCCGTTGGCGAGGTCACTTTCTTGGGATTCGCACATCTTTCCTCAGGTGGTCACGAGCCCGGCTGAGGACAGTTGTTCATCTGTCTTCAGAGGGCTTGTTTGTTCATTCGTTTATTTGTCTATCGTTAATGTCATTGAAAACTGTACTAACTTTAAAAAGTGCTATTTTTATTGTTAAAGAGTTGATTCTTTTAATCCTGTTTGCTGTTGAAAAAGTATTTCGCCGTGTACAGTACCATAAGCAAAGGTCCGATGTTGGCCACTTATTAAGTTATTGGTATAAGGGGAGGGTTTTGTGTTGTTCATTGTTTTCTTTTGGAAAGAATAGTGACAAGAGACCTTAACCCTAGACATGCTGTACGTGTGTCGTTCTAACTTTTATTACACAGAACAAACCCTCAAGTAGGCAGGAGACTGGGTCTTCATCTTATGCTCCATAAACAGGCATAATGCAGAAAATATTTAGCCAGTCAACCCAAGTATAGAATTTTGCCAAAAATGATTTACCAGCCTCAGATACAGGTATTTTCTCTGCTTAAGAACAATTTGGAAAACTGGTCACTTTTTCACCCACAAAAATACAAGTATACAAAGACCCCGCAAAAAATAACCTGCTACCCCCCCCCTTTCTCAGCCCACTCCTATATCATGGGAGAGGTGCTGAAATATTTGGTCAACCATGCTGGTATGACCTATTCTGTGGACTCCTAAATTCATACAGCACAGACCAGTAAAACAGCGCAACACACCTACTGAATAAGGCTGTAACACAACCACCTCCTGAATGGGATGCTGTCTTCATTATCAGCTAAAGGGTGGGTATGGTACAGCCATCTTTGGGGTAGAAACAAGTCTAGTTCTCCCACAGTGACTTCATTGCAAACAACTCACCCCAACCTGTTTAAGATTTTTATGATTTGAGGGATTTTTCCCTTAAGCTCAATTGACATGGAGCCACAAATGTGATCAAAGATCATCACATTGCAAGCTTTTAGCATAAGGCCCTCACTTCTAAAACTCAACTGTTAAGACAGCAGGGTTTGGGAGTGCTGGCAATTTTCTAACCTTGAGGTTCATAAATCATCCACCATGGATTAAAATTCTTAGAACAGTAATTTCAGTGTCTTGAATTGATCAATGCTAAGCAGTAAACCTTAGCAACTCACTGGCATTGGCAAAATTACAGCATTTCAGGAACTTTAGGTTGAAAGAAAAGACTGCCTTAAGCGCCAGTAAAGACAGGAGTTTTATGATGGAACAGTGTGTTTGAATGGGAATAAGCTTTATAACGTCCCAATTTAGACTTTCATTTTCCCCCCATATTGTAGTACTGCTGCCTATTAGAATATGTAGATTATGACCAAATAATTTGTAACAAGGGACAAAATCCTTAACGAATGCAAGGAAAATACTCAGGTATTGTGGGTGAGCTAATAGACAACTTGTATTACCAGCAATCACAATGGCTTGAATACATAATTGCTGGGAATGAGATCAATGGCCTGGATGTGTTTCTATGTCATACTTGAGACACAACCCAAACACAGATGTTCCATGTTTATGTGGCAATATGCACCCAAATCAAACCAAACCAAACTCCCATAAATATCTTCACACCACTGCATTATGTACTCAATTTGGTTCACTGTGACATTGTTTCAATACAACCAGACAAAAAAAATATGGAATGACATCACATTTTATTAACAACAGTTTAAGCCATCTTCAGCTGACTGTGTCTTTACTGCAAGTCCTGGACAATCAATCAAGCTGTAAAATAAAGAGGTATATTAGGCTACTGAGACCATCACATTGTCATCCACGGTTAAGTACTTCTAACTTCACACATAACCTCAATTCTAGACAGAGTAGTGCAGACATTAGGAGAACAGTCTGAAGATGTAATTTCACAGCATCTACAATCATTCGTGTCAAAATCATGCCTGCACCATCTAGTCATATCAGCATATTAAAAGTGCAAGTCTATGCGTAATAAAGGGTGCTTACCTTGACAAAGCCGATGTCACTGGCGTACTGTCGGAAACATTGGCGGCACATGTTCAGTCCGTATTTACGAATCAAGCCGTGTCGGTTTGAGCATACCCGACTACAAAGACAAAAAGGTAAATAAATAAATAAATAAATAAATTGCACAGTTTAGTTCCCGTCATCCAAATTACTAGATCATTCTAGCTTCGTCTTTAATTTAAATTACCCCTGACCAATATGGCTGAACAGCAGACAGCAAACAGCAGCTTAACACGGAAAATGCCGAAGTTTGATAATATTGACAAAGACCAACGTCAAACGTTAAAAACCCGCATGTAAAACAAACGTTGTCCGTTATGTGTACGATACTGAAATTGTTCTATTCGTTTCATACCGCACTTTCAGATGAGGCACGTTTTCAAAAAAAATGTTAGACAAGCGCGAGCCGCCATATTAGGTGCACGTTCCCACGTCCCACGCGCACCTACAAAACTAGAGAAAACATCGCTCTCCAACAGTTTTATTCTTTCCAGGCTACTAGAACACCAAGTCGCACTAAACACGAAAAGAATAACGAACCAGGCTCTGGATCCCTGGCCGAATTTTCGGGGGTGACTCCAGTAGAGCTGCTGGTGACCCATCTCGTCTCTTTGCGTTCAGGCGTCAGAAAGGAAGAGTACAATTCGCGCATGCGTAGTTAAAGTCCGTCCCAGGCGGTCAAAAAAGTTACTTCCGCCCGTACGATACCTTTGCGTTTCCGCATTTACAGCTAGATAGCAGCACTGTTGTTTGGTTGGGGAATTGGGTTGCATTTAACGTTTTTGTTATGTATGCGACTAGTTTTAACATTTTATTCATGTTACAAATATTAATCAACTCATAGAACAGCTACCTTCGTCTACACTAACTAGATATTTTACACATATACTTTCTTCGCTATATAAGGAAATTAAATTGGAATGTACGTTTCAGTTTAATAAAAATTATTGATTTAGAAAATACATATTTATCGTTTTTTTTACAGTATAATGTTTTAATTTATATTTAGCCAGTGACGGTATCAAACGTGCCAAAATCAGAAATAGGACTGACCACGTTTTGGTCTAACCAAAATACCAACCTACAAAATATAGTACGATGTTTCATTGGCAGTATTCTCCTCCAATCAATGTCCGCCATTTTTGTCCAATCAGAGAACGCAGTTCTTTCCATCTGTATAGATTTCGCGCGCGGCTGTTCACTCTTTTTAAACGTACTGTAGTTAAATGAGGAATCCGAGTTTTACGTTGGTTTTGTATCATTTTTTTAAATAAGACATTAATGGAACTTTGATCATCTGCTGAAACGCTGTACTGTTTTACCTGGTAAGACGTGTTTATTATTAATATACGTTTTATGGTGCTCGTATATCTTCCTACGATAAACTCGACGGTAGGCTAGTCAGCCAGGCGCTTTGCAAATCGAAAACTGTTAAGTCGCTAACAGGCTGGTCAAATTATTTTTTTTAAAATACCTCCCCGAGTCCTGTCCTTTTTTAAAAAGATCGATTATTAGCCGTAAATAAAATGGTGGACAAACTAGTTGATCAAATAAACAGTGGAGTAGACTGGCTGGGTGTGAGACAAGTACTGATTAGTGTCAACTGGTCTGCGCTGGTAGGTAGCTGCAAATGTACTGAGAATGATTAACTGCTTATTCCTATTGGTATTTGAGATTAAGGCTCAGTTAATTTAAGTATACCGCTGCCTTTCTCAATGACTAGTTGCTCATTATTCACGTTTTCTTTGAATATTTGCCTACGTACACAATATAATTATTAGGAACTGGTCGATTAAATCCGTATTCATTGCCAATGGGGTCCGCCTTACTAGCCAGGTATGGCTGCTTTTTGAACGTTTTGTGTTTTTAACCGGGGTAGAGCCGCTGCTCAAAGGATAAGAGTGAACCAGAACCATTTCACTGGTATTTGGAGTTGCTTTGATGACGGCTAAGCAGATGACACAAATCTTATTGTTATTTTAAAAGTCTACTTTCATCTTAATACAATGGGAGCCTGCAGTTATACACGCTGACGCGGCGATGGGCGTTTCGACGCCCACATGCCGCGTTTAGGTCTTTTGACAGCCGTGCGCGTCGCGTCTCCCAGCGCAGGGCCGCCTCCATGGTGTCGGCGCGATGAAGCTCCAGTGCGACGTCGAAGTGATCCATCGCATGCTGCCGACGTATGGCTTGAAAAACCGAGGCAGGGGGACCCGGGCAGTTCTGTCCATCGGAAAACACCTTGATAGAACCACTCAGCGAAATAATATATACCTCATGATCTGCACGCAGAAGGACAGGACCGGATCCAAATACAAGGTAGGTTCCCGGTGCTCCCTACGCTCTTCCGACTCTTAAATTTGTTCTTTTCGTTTGTTCTATTGTAAATATTTACTCTGTTATACATATTATATATGTAGAAGCGATTCGTGTAAATATCTGTGAGGATAGCAGAGCTAAAACAAAACACAAACATTACTGTATTTAAATTGTGGGCTTTAACTGTGACTGCTGTCCAGACACTTGAGTTCTACAGATTACACTTGTGTACAAGGCACGATATATTATTAGTTTTACAGTAAATTAAATAGTAAATATACAGAAGTATAATATTTGCTTCCATGGCGAGGTATGGATGCTGTGTTCCGCACCTGTCTACTGTCTACTAAGTATTTTTAGGCAATCTATATATTTTTTGTTTTAGTTCTTCTTTAAAGTTTCATTTTATTAACATATACTTTGTGGTGTTTTCCATGTGTTTGGACTGAACGTTTCTTAAACTTTACACCTATATAAAATAGATTTTATAAGGTTTCTGTGGCTACAGTTGTATAATATTTTCAGCCAGTCCCGATTGCAGTGGCAAATATTTAGTGGGTTTTCAGAACTGAATCATTTGTAGATGTACTTAGTTGCTACTGCAGTTAATACAAACATAGCCACAGTCGTTTGCCTGGCTGTTATCTCACTAATTATAAGGTGCTTCAGGTGTTGAATTGCAAGGGGGGGTCTAGTTCTTTAAGTATGCTTTACTACCTCAATCCTATTCACAAACACCAATGTTTAGACATTTGTGCTTCACCTCAGTTAAAGGAGAACATTGAGCAGTTCTTCACCTGGTTCGTGGATGAGGGAAAAGCCACTGTGAGGCTCAAAGAGCCGGCCGTGGACGTCTGCTTGAGTAAGGTATGTGGCCATGTTTTTAAGCGATTTTAATGAGTCTGGCAGTCAGATGTTTGCATGTATTTTATGGTGTAAATTACAGACCAAGAGGCAGCAGCTATCATATGCTAGTCCATCCCTTTCTTGAATCAGGAGAGGAAAAAATGGGTATTTAAAGAGTAACGTTTATTTAATACTTTTTAGATACTTTAACTGAAATAAACACTTGTGTTCAGAAGGTATAATATGAGCTTTGTGTTTGTTTCTTGCATAACTAGTGGCTTGGCTTTTCTACACAGGCTTTTTATGATCAGGGATTCTTGAGGGACTGGTAAATTTTGTACTCCATTCATTTTCTTTTGTAATGCTTCAGTGGATAGAAGACAAAATTGTGAGAACTTGCCAGAAAAATACACAACTTGAAAGACACATGCATTATACCCCTGCATTAGACATTAAATTAGTTTGGGAAGACGATATGATGTTTTTTTTTGTGCCGGTGATCTTTTTTTGCCATCAGTCTGCTGTCCATTCTTTAAATAGTTTATGTATTGTTAGTTGTTACTTGGCCATGTTTAAAACCTTAAGGGCTCCTAGTGTCTGGGCAGTACCTTCTGTGGAAGTAAAAATAGAAACAAAATTAAATTAAATGTTACTTTAAAACAGATAAATACAAAGACTCATTGTAATGTAACTCTGCTGTTGCAAACTAAAGAAACCCTCCACTGTTCATCTGTGCTCACTGGCTCTACACTTGTTGATAGGCTTGTTCAGTGTTTGGGAATCTGGGCACAGTTCATTGGTATTTATGGTTTTGTTCTATTTGTAAATTATTTGCTTTCGGGGTCCATGTGTCTTCAGACTGTAATTTCCCTTTCGTTTATTCCTGAAACTGTTGACAAGTGTCGGGCACTTTGTGGGCCTGGGTTCGCGGGGCATGTGTCCATTTAGTTCTTTGTTTTTGTTTCATGGCTGGTGAGGCACTGGGTCAGGTTATGCAAGTTACACGCGCGGGTGACGGTTTTATGGGCCGTGCTTCTTGCATCTTACCCCCATGAACAGCACCCAAGGCCCGCCCTTTGTCAGGCATCCAATTGGAAGTGAGCTGACGCCAGGCCCCAGAGCCATGGTAGGACTGCGGTGACCTTTCACCCAGTTCCTTGGAACACACGTTTTTCACGCTCGCTTTGTGAGGCCTGGCATTGCCTGCTGACTCCATGGCTTTGCCTTTGTGATCGATGCTGTGCCCAACCTTGTGCATTTAAACTTGCATTTATTTGTCATGTTTTTTTAAAAAAAATGATGAACCATCCTTTGGAAAAATCATATCATGACGTATAAATGTCATTTGCCTTCCGTCCCCCTCAACACTAACCCCCCCCCCCCCCCCCCCCCCCCCATGCTTGGGCAGGGCAGAAAATTCAACCCAGCCTGTTGTGAAACCTGTGATAGTCTGGATGTGGTCTGTTTGTTCCTGCAGTGTTAGTCAGAACTGCATGATTTGGGTTCCAACTAGATTGTAACCTTACGTGGTGATAAGGAGTCATTCATTCATTAGTTTAGGTTTGTTTAGGTTATCTCACATGTTTTGGATTGTTGTGGTTTTTCAATATGTTTTTTTTAGTTAGTAGATTTGTGTACTATGCTTGGGTAGTAATATGGTGATGCAGTATATCACAGCCTTTCGTAGTCCTGGCAACAAAATTTTCCATGCAGTTGATTATATTGGTCCTGCTTGGCCGACTGGGCCATATCCCCCCTCCCCCCAATGTGTATCATGAATTATGGTTTTTGGTTTACATTTTATTTACTCTCTTCAGTCCCCTTTCATTTATGATAATGGTTTAGATTTAATTGTAATTATTAAATGGAATCCTGTCTGTTTAACGGGTCATAATACACATCTTTTTCTGTTAAAGTATTCTAAACTAGACCTTCCACAAGGTTAATGCTTAGGGAGGGGAAAACTTGATAAAGGTTTTAATGTCAAAGAAAAGTATTGATTAATTAAGCTCAGGCTTCTCAGAAGGCAGCAAACAAAGCCCTTGTTTGCGTCATTAGTTACATGATCTTTGTAAGAAGTGTTCAGTTTCCTGTTTTTATTAAGTCACCTATTTAATTGGCTGGCAGTGCTTAACTACACCCTGTGCCGTCTGAAGTGCCTCTTCAGCCACAGAGCTCTGGCTGAATGGTTATTAATGCCTCTGCATATTCCCACAGGCCGATGCCAACAGCCTGAAGAACTTCCTTTCCGCTGCCAGGCTGGCCCACAGGGGAAGCGACTCAGACGCGTTACCCCTGTCCACCCTCACGCCCGTCCGGGCTCGAGATGTGGAGAGGCCCAAGAAGAAGTTGTCCATCCTTTCCAAGAAAGACTATCCCCTGACGTCCAATTTCCCGTACTCCCTAGAACAGCTGCAGGTGTCTTACTGCAAGCTCTCCCGGGTAGACATGCGCATGCTTTCCCTCAAGGGCCTGCGTTGCCTGGACCTAAGCAACAACCACATCAAGAAGCTTCCGGAAACCATTGGTGACCTGGGCTGCCTTGCAGAACTTGTCCTCCACAACAACCACCTGGAAACCTTCAGTGCAGCACTGTGCCTTTCCAGTCTGCAGCGCACCCTAAAGCTCTTAGACTTGAGCCGGAACCGTCTGCATGCTCTCCCCGATCAGTTCTGCCAGCTACGCGAGCTGGTCAGCCTGAAGCTGGACAACAACTTGTTGGAACAGATGCCGACCCGCATAGGCCAGCTGTCGAAGCTTCGCTTCCTGTCCGCCTCCCACAATAAGCTGCCCTTCCTGCCCGCTGACTTCCGCCAGCTGTCACTGGAGAACCTGGATCTGTTTGGCAACCCATTCGCCCAGCCCAATTCATTGGACCACACTATGCGGCTCACCTTCCCACTATCTCTGCAAGAAATGGCTTCCCGGGCTGTGCTGGACCTCAGGTGAGAGTATTTCGGTAAATCGTAAAAGGCAAGATTTCAGTTTGAATGACAACAGGCAAATAAATGATATATGCATCCGGTGCTTTTATGGTAAGGTAATCCACTTGTCCATTGAGGTTTTCCTTTCCAGAATCTTTTGGTTATGGATGTAATGGTTGAAAACACATTTGGTTTCATATGGGTGTGGTCTGAGTGATTTTATACAACTAAAGCATTGGTTCCCATGGGTGTGTCTGTCTGCAGAATCCCCTTTGGGCCCCACCTTATCCCTGCCCATCTCTGCAAAGAACTGGAACTGGCAAAGACGTGTGACTGTGGCCGGACAGTAGTGGATGCCTTCATCCAGATGGTGGTCAGTATGAATCTGCACCTGGTTTCCCACACGGTGGTCCTGGTGGACGACATGGGGAGCACAGACGCTCCTGTGAAACGCTACTTTTGCTCTCTGCCTTGCTACTCCCAGTTCCTGGACATCTGCCTGCAGCGTGGAGTCAGGTGATGGCCGAGGCCAAGGGCCAGAGTTTAGTTCAGCAGTAATAGTATATGCCGAGCTCTTCGTGCCGAGGCAGACTTTCCACCTTCTGTGAGGGATAAGGGACAGGCTTCTGGCTGTGACGCATTCACGTCCGGTTGACTCACCAGCCACAGAGGCATGCATAACTATGAAAAGTCTTTAGTCGTTTTGCAACCCTGGTGTGAGTTTCTTCTCCAGTTTTGATTTTTTTTTTTTTTTAAATGGTAACGCAAGACTTACTGAAAATGAATGCGAATGATTAAGCGAAGGACTTTACTCATACTTACGAAAATGAGTTTGGTTCAAAATGAGTATTTTCTGTTCTTTGTTCAGTTCAAGAATGTTTGTTTGTTTTAGGTAGTTTTAGACAAGTTTTATTCCTGTAGAATCCGAGAACTCCAACATTAAACCAACTGAGAATATTTTCCATGTAATGTTATGTTGAACTAGTTTTGGTGTTCAAGCTCTGAAAAAGATTGGTTTGAGGAGTTAGTGTACTTTTTGTGGTTTGTATATGTGTCCATGACTTTTTGTAATCAATAATGTATTTGTCATATTAAATAAAAGGAAATATTTGAAATGAATTTTAAAGCAATACGTGTATGATTACTTAGATGAATCATGAAAATATAATCAGTCTGAAGATTGCTTTCTTTTCTGGCCGACTCGTTTTTGACAAGTACTTTTATCATTTTCTGATGAGAAATCTAGCTTCTCATTTGAAGACAAGTGAAGTTATTTTTTACAATGATTCAAATTGAGTCTGCAATATTACTCTTACGCGCTAGGTGGTGCCAATCTCGCATTTGTAATGTTTAATATACAGAACAAATACGGGTATTTCCCATTACAATAAACCTGCCCATTGAATAATGATGGGAGAAATATCGCTTTAGTGTGCGCCTCAAAGTTTTACATGGCGCCAAAATAATGCTAACTAAAAATTAAGAAGATTTAATGGTGGATAATTTTAAGGGTTTGTGGACGTGCTAGTGTAAGGTCTCGGGGAATATCACCACATAAGTATACAATCTAATCGGAACCCAAATAATTCCATAAATGGTCAGTAGTACCTATATATAAAACAGCTCCGAGGTAAACATGATTTTATTTATTTTCACAATAACATCCAGACATTGACCACAAAGGTACTTCCGGCAGTTTCTGCGGGTACCCGGCCGCACAGACATGAAGAATGACAGGTAACCCGGATCATTCCCGTCTGACGGGGCAACGACGAAAAAGGGCTTGAAACGGAGCCGGTTTGCAATCGCGAAAGGATCGTGACGCCATCGCTATCCCGCACAAAGCCGCCCCCCTCCCGTTCCAGGGAGAGTGCGGTGCATTGTGGGATACGGAGGTCATCGTCGGCTCGGCTCCGCCTGTTTTTCGGGAAGGCGGAATCCGGCGGAGGAGAGGAGGAAAAAAAAAAAAGAAAAAAGGGCTGAAGAATGGAAGAGGATCGCGAGCATCGCGCGGCGGAGTTCCGCTAATCAGCCGCGGGAGAGAAGCACGGCGCCTTATAGCCGAGGTACCTGACTGCGGCACGGTGGGATCTTGCGGAAGCTGCCAGCTAGCTAAGCTAGTTATCGGGGTCCGGTGTTTAGGGTTAACTAGCCGCCTGCGACCGTGCGAGTGTTACACGAGTTGACACCTGAGGTAGCGGTTTTTGCGGCTGCGGCTCCGCCGTGTCACGGATCTGGTGAAACCAGTAGATCCAGCAGATCTCACAGGACCTTATCAGACCGAGACGCTCATGGAGTGGTCGAAATGTGCTTTGCAGGTCGGGGAATTAACTACAAGCGAGTGCCTGGCGTGGATACACTTTGTAATTACTGCATACTGCCAACTAGAAATAGGAAGCAACAAGATGGCTCGGAGCTATGGCAAGGTAAATGAAGGTTTCGCGGAAATTAGTTGCCTGATCTTGCGCCCAAGCCGTTTGTTTGGAAAATGCTTGGGAGCTTTAGTGAGTTGTAGTTGGAAAAGAAACTCGATTTTGTGCATTTTTTTTAATGCAATGCATCATTACTTGGTTTTCTGGCTCGATTTGTCGTGGGATTATGCTGGACATAAAAGTCAAAACCTTCTGCCGCAATGAGTCCTGAATATGTAATACTTCTGTACTAGTAATTTGGTTTAATTCTCATTAATTTAATTCAGGCGCTGGTCCAGTTCCTATTTCAGTGATTGAATCACAATGTTTTAAATTCGCAACCAATAAATGAAATGCGTTTGGTTAATGCTGGTCCAGGATTATGTTAAATTTGATCGGGTTAAGTATCAGTTTCCCTTCATGTTCATAAGTGTTTACATGTGTCACGCAAATTGAATTTCGTTATTAGACCGCTTTGAAATTGACAGCTGCATGGTACGACAACCCTTCTGTGCCGAAATACCCTTCACTGATCTGGCTGTGACTTAAACGTCCATTATGGTTGTAAAATCGTTTGAAATCGAGTAAGGCTTGTGCTGACAGATTTTTTTTTTCGTGGATATCCCTCTGGCATGAAGAAATGCACAAGTTGCACACATGCATAGATAAATGATTTAATAGAAATTACTCGAGAGATTGCTCTGAGGATATAGCCGCAGAATATACGCGCTATGCTCGGACAGCTTAAGTAGTTTATTTTGCTGGAATTTAATGCATAACTTGTTCCCCAGTAAATTACTTTTCAGAGAGATTATCGCAGCTTTTTCATTAAACAGCTTCAGGTGACAAATGAACGAGTATATTTAACATATCCAGTCTTTTAAAATGCAAGTTTTAGGAGTTTAATGTGAAATGTTCTGTTAAATTAATAAGTTTAGTATAAAGCGTCCCGAAGAGTCAGAGACTGGAAGATCTCCCGCAGCTAATGGCCAACAGGCCCTGCTCGTTCATCGTGAATCTAAAGGGAACTTGATGGGAGAAAAACATTTTTTGCATGGAGTGAAAGTACATCTCAAGGCACGCTTCGTAACATTTTTCTAACAGCATAAAAGCATAACAATGCAGTGCATATGTGCGTCTTTATTTTTGCTTTTTTTCCTTGTAGTTTACAGAATCCTTTTTTATGTTCATTATTCAGGTTGTTATGTACACATGCGTTCATAAAGGATGTCAGCCTTGCCCGTACTATTCACGTGGCTAATGACGCATATCGACACAGTTGAAATTCCGCCTCCAGTGCTGTACATCACATAACGTGTATGCCGCCGCCGTTACCAGCCGCCGTTACCGGTTCGTGCATGTTTTCAAAAGAAAGTTGTGTAGCGAATTTCCCTTGAATGTACATCAGAGTGCTGAGAGCAGTGCTTTTAATGGGCTCCTGCACAGTCTCTCGCCATCGTTAGATTAGTTGGCAATGAACAAATACAACTTGCAAAAGAACAGGTGGCACAGGCAAAACTTTTCTGCAGTGAGGAACATTAAATATTTATAAAGTAAAAATGCTGTAGGCTAATGGTCTTAGTTATAGGTTTGGTACACAATGAATTACAGTTTCTTGTCTGCTAAAATTCATTGATAATGATCTATGATTATAATTTAAAATAAACTTAAACGTTAGAATTTGAATGCATTAATTTTAATATGCAATCACTCAATCTGCTCAAAATAATTTGGTTTTGTTTATCAGTAAAACCAATTCATGTCTCAGGCAAGGTTATTATCATTAACAAATACTAAAATTAATGCGATAAAAGCATTTTTGTTTATCAAAATTAAAACAAAACTAGATGTGTAAATGAGAAGCAAAACCCAAAGTGAAATTAAAACAAACTCCAAAACAAACTGAAATAATCAAAAAAAAAATTGTGGTTTCGGTTTTTAACTTTCTAGTCTTGTCTGCTTATAGGCTACCAGCTACCAGGTGTCCCGCCTTTAAATAATTGACAGTGAGTGTAGCCTATGATACGCGTCTCAAATAGGCAAAATTGCATATACATTCGAGAGATTAAACCATGTTTCAGGCGAAGATTAGGGACCACTGAAAATGACAAAAACTTAGAGATACTGTTATCTAAAGCAACAAAGAGTGTATCAGCCGATATTCTTTAAAAATGAAGGTAGGGGTGCCCAATTGGCTTTCAGAGCAAACACAATGAAACTTCCACACAGACCGGGAGCTCGAATGACACCCTAACCCCCCAGTTTGTCAGGCATCTAAAATGAAACTAAAAATAAACATTAGTTATTCAGCTCAGTAAAAATACTAACTGATATAAAAATGGTCAAAAGCTAAAACTGAAATAGAACTAACACTTGAAAAACTTTAAAATTAAAATAAGAATTTTTAAAAAAGGAACTAAAATGACATTGATCCCAAGGAACCTTAAGCTTACTTTGAACTGCAAGGTGAATCTTTGTTCTCAGTCATCCTGTGTCGGCAGGAGCTTCTGTCGAAACTTGTTGTGTATTTGTGGGGAGGAGAATTTGCCAGACCCTCAAATCCCCTGTATTTTTCTTTTCTTGGATAAGTATTGGGATCGATGTCAGCATAATGTGTTTCCGAATTGTCTGCTATTGACCAGTGTCTTCAAATTTTAAAAAAGTCAATTGGGAATTTCTCAGGTGGGAGATTTGAGGCCTAAATGTTCCAGTTCAGATGTTTAGCCATTGGGCTTCACGGGTTCTTGGGTGTTTATGAAATGCTAAAGTTCAACTCGGGAACATTTGTGATTGGCTGACGCATGTATTCATTTTGTATATAGGTCACAACATCTATAAACATAACACAAAGCTTGTTTGTGCCTCTAGCCCCAATACCTACTGTATGACACACAATAGTCGTACAGCTATGACAAATCATTACTAATGTTTATACAGCTAGTAACACACATGTAAATGGAACAGTCCATATGGCTTGAGCTTGCAGTAGAAGGGAAAATGTTTTGAAAGATTTTCCAGTCTTTGTTTCTTATCTCTAACATTCAGAAATGGATAAATGAACCCAGCCTTAAACCAAAAGCATGCATTGACTTTCCTCTCTTTCTTTTTTCTTTTCAGAGGTTTTCCGTTGCCCTATCTTGATGCATACTGCCAGACTCCCGTGCATTTTAGCAAAGAACACATCCTGCGAGATATGTTTTGCTCGACTGACATTTTAAACGGATCCATGTTTACAACATTCCAAGAATCTAAAGTGAGGAAAAAAAACACGACCATCCTTCTACTTTCTTAAGGGCACCTTTCGCCTCAGCTCCCAAGTAGCCCCGATTCCTATTCAGTCGGTCAGTGTCGCTCCGGAATTCCACCTGCCATGAGATTCCGAATCTATAAGAGGAAGGTGTTCATACTGACCCTGGTGGTGCTCGCTTGCGGCTTTGCCTTCTGGAGCAGCGGCAAGCAGAAGAAGGCCGACGTGTTTGCTAAGGAGCCAGAGGCAGGCAGGGGCAGCCGGCCGCAGGCGACTCCCGGGCTCAGGAGGCCGTACAATGAGACGCAGGCCGAGAAGGTGGTGCGGCCTGAGGTTGACAACGTGACTCTAGTCTATAGGGGAATCGTGTTTCAGCTGAACTTTGACCAGACCGTCAGGAATGAGGAAAAATTCAAAATGCGCCAGAAGGATGATCTGGTGGTGGTCGTCCAGGTTCACAACCGGCCCGAGTATTTGAAGCTGCTCGTCGAGTCTCTTCGGAAGGTGAAGGGCATTGAGAACATACTGCTAATATTTAGCCATGATTACTGGTCACCGGAGATCAACCAAGTGGTTGCGTCTGTAAATTTCTGCCAAGTCCTTCAGATCTTCTTTCCCTTCAGCATCCAGCTTTACCCGCACGAGTTCCCAGGAAATGACCCCAAAGACTGCCCCAGAGACATTCCCAAGAAAGATGCCTTAAAGTTGGGGTGCATCAATGCAGAGTACCCTGATTCTTTTGGCCACTACAGAGAAGCCAGGTTCTCCCAGACTAAACACCACTGGTGGTGGAAGCTGCACTTTGTGTGGGAGAGGGTCAAAGTCCTAAAAGACCACAGTGGTCTGGTACTGCTTATTGAGGAGGATCATTACCTGTCACCAGACTTTTACCATGTCCTGAAGATGATGGAGTCTCTCAAGAGCGAGCAGTGCCCAGAATGTGACATCTTGTCACTAGGAACCTACAGTCACACTGGCTATTCCAGCAAGGTCAACAAAGTGGAGGTGAAGGTTTGGAAGTCTACAGAGCACAACATGGGAATGGCCATGTACAGGGAGACCTACCAGAAGCTCATCCAGTGCACGGATATATTCTGCACTTACGACGACTACAACTGGGACTGGTCGCTGCAGTACCTAACGGTGAACTGTCTGCCAACGTTCTGGAAGGTGATGATGAGCGAGGCCCCCCGCATTTTCCACGCAGGCGATTGTGGGATGCATCACAAGAAGGCCTGCATGCCGTCCAGCCAGAAGGCTAAAATCGAGAGCGTCCTTCAGAGCAGCAGCAACCAGTTGTTCCCAAAGATGTTGTTCGTCAACAAGAAACAGCCTGCAGGTGGGCTGTCACCCCACGTGAAGAATGGAGGCTGGGGAGACATCAGGGACCATGAACTCTGCAAGAGCTACCCCAGATTACAGTGATGTTTATTTTCTATTGTTTTTTTTTGGTTTTTTTTGTCCTTCGCATCCTCTTTAAAAGCCTTTTACATATATATATATATATTTTCTTTTATGGACTGTTAATACTGCCTGTTTTTTTTTTTTTGTTTTTTTTGCCTGTCCCCAGTAAAGTACATGGTGAGGGGGGGGGTTAGGCTTCTAAATGGGGTTGTCTTTTGATGATCCAACTAAAACTAAATGGATAGAGTGTCTGATAGAATTTTATGGAGAGAAACGTATTGACAGTGGCACTTTTCATCATGTTCCCCTTCTAAAAATTATATATTATTACATTTTTGTATTGAAGTCATGATGACAAGACCGGTTTATAAATTCCATGTTATAATTTTAAAAGAATGTTTATATTTCATGTTGGATTAAATGGCCTGACAAAAATCAAATAGGCAAAATTATAATGCTCAGTTAATGGTCTGTTTTCCCCTGTTTTGTGGTTTGTTCTCAAATCAATTAAAAAAATACTGTTAACTTGATTTTCGCCATGGCCCACAAGTAATTGTCAAATAACCCCTGAGACACAAATGTTTAGATAAGAGGGATGTGAGCGAATGCAGTTTTAACTGTGAATGACTGAAATAATTTGTCATTATCCCGCTACAAATGAGGTTAAATAATGAATGGCAAGTCGTCTGTGTTGAAAAAAGGTTCAGGAAGAAGAGTCAAATATAGCAGTGTGTGTGCAGTGCTTGTTAGGGTACCCTGACCATACATTTTAGAAGTTGCGGCTACCAACATTGCATGTATTATTAATGCCGCTGATTTTATGCTCCGTAGATCAGCTGACATGAGGCCCGCTCCCATGAGACACCTTGTTCCATTTATTACGATTCTCTACTTCGATTTACATTCACATCAGATCTTGTCCTCCTTTATCATCTCCGATGTATAAGGATAAGCCAGCTAGTCCCTTACGGTACCAGAACTACATCTTAATTAAGAACGGTGTTTAATGTCCGTCACTGTTTTCCAGATAATGCTGCAAAAATGTTCATGGCTGGCAATCTGAACTGCAGTTAAGGAAAGCTGTGTAATACTGTGTCTGTGGGCAGAGTGTAGAATCCATTGGGTGCATTTGCACAGTATTTCACCAGTGCCGTGCTGTTATCAGCGATGAAATATTGAAGCTCTCCATATCTTAGCTGTGCTGTAAGGTATTAAGTCATAATAATAGCCCATTTTCTTCCTAGTGCCTTCTGTGCACCTCTGCTTCAGGAAATCATTGCATGTGTCTTTTTTTTTCTTTTATTTCTGCCTTATAGACTCGTATGTGGGTGTGAAGCGTGGGGTCTCTGGGAAAATCCCATTCTCTTTTCCCTTTCCCGTTTTTTCTGATCAACCAGGGTTTTTTTTCACCAGATTTTCAGTGTTTCACCCCTAGAAGAAAAAGGACCTTATGAATAAAGCTCTCTGTGCCCCTCGCCATATTTCTATCCAGCCCGCGTCTGTGATTGATGCTCTTCTGGTCCCGGTTCCTTCAGAGAGTTGCACTTAACTAGACTGCAATCCCAGAATGACCCGAGAGGCAGGGCTTGAAATTACAGCCGTAACCCGGTTTGATTTAGTGAACGGCCGACCGTAGTAAGGAATGGCCGTCGCAGTAAGGGAGAAGGGATGACAGAGAAACACGAGAGAATGTGGGTAGGACTCCTTTAAGTGAGGACCACTGCAAACACAATATTGTTTATTGATGGTACGTAAGATGGTGTGACTCTCTGGCCATTCTTTGCTTGATCTGTTTAGACCCAACGTTAGTCCAGCTCATATAACAAGGTGTTCTGGAGGCGGAAGGCAGCAGAGGTGGTATGATCGGTTACATCTTCCACTCTTCCATCTCGTGGATCGATTTCCCTAAGAATGACTGATGGAGGTTTGTCGTCAGAGCTCTGGTGGCCCTGCCTAGTGGGTAAGTCGTCTTCCACCCGCTCCTGCTCTTTTTCTACCTCTCCTCCATCTATACTGAACTGAAAATTTACCTCCCCATCTTTGCCCTCGTCAACAAGGGCCAATGTGTCAGAGATTGCTGTATCTTGTTCACTTCTGGGGAGAGGCTGACTTTGGTTGCCTACTGAGACCTCTTCACCTGGGGGTGGAGTTTCCTGGAAGCCCCGCCCCTCAGTAGATGTCAAACGCGAGTCTTCAGCTAGCACTGGCTCATTACTTTGCATGGGAAGAAACATCTTCTCCTCTATCTCTGTCCTAAAGGAGAGGCTCGCTACCTGTACACAGTTGTCCTGGTAAAGAGGCACGTGCAGGTCCGCGTCTGTGCCCTGCAAGAAAAATTCCCAGACTGGTTAATCTGAGATAAAGTGATATGAAGTTTGTTTATTGGAGAACGCTGAACAGCAACGAATGCTATTAAGGACGGATGACTATCAGCCCTCAGTGGGATAGTTAACGGCACATTAGCAATAGGTGGCTAAGTTTTCATTAAATCTCTAAAGTTGGCAGGACCTAATTATTTTAATCCCCAGCCTATGCCTATTACAAAATATCTTGCCGTGATTTCAGAAATTGCCTGTGCCGAAACACGCTTCCCCTCTAACACTGAAGTCGATATAATTAATTTTATGTAGCAGAATGATTAAGAAGTATAATGTGTGCCACCTGCTTTCACGGCTCCTGCTGCCTCTGCACATTTCACCAAATGCGTCACCGCCGCTTTAAATGGAGCCCAACCTCACGTATTGTAATTGACCTGGAAATCTGCGCACCCACAGAGTCCGAAAGCCCCTTTCGATGAAGTGAGAAGGATGTTGGAGGCTGAATTTAGGAAAATGGATCATGTGACAACATCTGGACTGGCCGAATGTGTTCTAGCCGTGTTGTCGTGGGTGGGAGGGAGGGAAATATTATGTAAGAGAAGAATTGGAATTACAGCACTAGCCTGTTTTTGGATCGAGGGACATCTGTGTCTTCAGTGAACAGATGCATGACCTGATAGCGGTTTATGTTATAAAGATGATCACGCCCCCGCCCGCCCGACTCGGGGACTGGCCACCTTTTGTGAAGATTATCTCTCCTACTGGAATGGATTCGCTGCGGGAAGAGACCATCTTTCCACTTTTTTTTTTTGGCAGACACTTTTAGCCAGAGACACTTGCGGGGCCGTCAAGGCAAAAACAGTAAGAGACAAACAAACAGTCACACAGACACATACGTTCTCATAGTGTAGAATTACAATTAAAGTCGCAAAAGGCTTGATAAGGTTGATACATGCAATCATATGTCCTGATCATCCAACGCAGTTATATTATTGCGAAATGCTATAAACTCAAATTAACCCCGTTATGCCCACGTACACGTTTACTTAAGCTTCACGTTATTTTTTGACACATTTAAGAAGCTGATGTTTATCTTTCCAAATTATACTGTCAGGCCGCATGATCAGTCTTCAAATTCAATCTGATATATGTGCAGCTAACATCTATGGATATAAATGATATAAATTATACTGCGTGTGTAACACTCTGCATCTCATAATCAACCCCTGTTTGGCCCAAACAAGCTGTACCCCCAGTGACCTATGTGACAGCTTGGGAAAACAGTCCTTTTTCAGATGCAGTGCTCTAGTGCTGTGTGTCTGCACTAATGAATTTGAAGAGACAGCTGAATCATGCTGATATATTGGGGGGGGGGGGGTAAGATGAGTCTTTCCATGGTGGTGACTTTAATAACTCTCAGCCTAATAGTGTTGTCACTGTAGAAAATCGGCCTTTTGTTCAGTGTCAGGGTGCTGACCCATAACTGCGCTGATGAATGCGCAACATGACTTTAAAAAAATGCCAATTCAGTTATTTGCAAGCTGATTGGCTGACACTCGCCGTTCACTGTTGCAGCCTTAAATCATCTGAAAACTGTTACCCGTAGGGAAAAAGTACCTTATGTGTTAATAAAGTGAACATTAAACCTTCCCAAGCGTGAAAGGCACGGCTAAACTTTAAAGTCACTTATTTTAAAATAGGACATACGTGCTTTCCCATTTGGGGACTGCAAAACCTGATCAACTTTTGAAATGTATTACATAAGAGGATTAGTTGTATATTTGAACACCTAATAATTCTGACTGGATGGGGAAAACGTATAAGTCTGCTATACTGCAAAAGAATATAACAAAAGAAGCATTATGTGCCCTAAGCGGTAGTAGGGTGATTGTTTAGCAGTCACCATTTTCATGATTTTGCTATTGGTAAAACATCACAAATATGACTAGCAAAATGACATTAGAACCAGAGTTTTTTTTTTTAAGGTCAGACCATCTGCACCATCATCTCCCAACTGCCTCTCTTTCCTATGCGGCGGTGCCGTTTCTCCGCCTCCTGTTCATCTGACACGATTGCTTATCTCACGCATCTAACAAAGCGCTGGTACCGCCAGGCGTCTCCGCGACGGCGCTTCCTCATACGCACTCGGGCGCGGATCGCTGCCAGTCGCCGCTGAAAAAGCGTTTCTCCCAGTCGCTCTGCGCGTTGCCCTGTTGTGGGTAAGCGTGCTGTATATCTAACAAACCCTGTCATCATGTACCTCAGATGTCATTTCTACAGATGTAATTTAGATCCTGAACCATTTTCTTATAGGCCTATAAAAAGCCTTTTTCTTCATTGTTCAAAACTTAATCAGTCATTCTATATTGCCTTGTTAAAGTACAAGGACAAAGCCTTTTGAATTAACGCAAAAAAACACTGGCTCCATCTATTTAAGGAAATTTAAGTTTGGAGAATAACCATAGAATGAATGAGTTGCAGCGTATAAAAAATGTTAATTCTCTTTCTTTTTTATTACGTTGCTTATTCATATGTTGTGCTTATATCCTATTTCAATTCCAATTTAGTTTTATTTATAGTTTAACCGTGTTTTGTTCTTTTTTATTTTTTTTAATAAATAGCCTTTTCCTTGTTAGTTTTCTCTTAATAATAACCTTGGTGTAATATGATGCAAATGGTTTTGGGAATGAACGTCAAAGGATATTCCATACCCTCCTGCGTCTTGTGCTTTCAGAAGAGATGTATTATATTATGTTGAATAGAAACTAGGTCACAGATAATGTGACACCCCCCTCCAAAATAGACTTAGTTCAAAATGCCAGAGACATAGCTTTTCGTTATATTACCTTGCCACTGGAATCCTGAGAGTCCGAGGACTCATCATCTTCCTCCTCGGCAGCCTCGGACACTTCCGTAAATAGTGAAGTTTGAGTCTGGTGACCTGATGCACTTCTGCTCAAAGACGTGAGACATTGTCCCATAGTCACCCCCTCGTCATCAGCTGTCTTTTCGAGGCTTTCTCTAGGTTCATAAGAGGACACCCGTTTTCTTAATGGGTTCAATAGTTCAGTGTTTTCAAAAGGCGAAGGTAATGTCACTGCGGCTTTCAACAGACCACGATCATGTTCATTAGGTTCTTTGGTCAATGCGTGACCGCCCCCCACGTGCTCATATTTGGTCGACCCATTATCTCCATCAACGCTGCATGTGTTCTGACTCTCTTTACTACTGGCAGGCTGTACTGACAGGTCCACAACATTCATCAAAGGGGTTTTCAGCGGTAATACTGCTAGGGTGACGGTAAGCTGTCCCTTGAGTTTATTGAACTTCGCCTCCCCTTTGTTTTCATCCACGGGGTAAGACAGGGGCAGCTCCAGCCTGTAAGCAGGCTGCCGGGACTCTAACAGCAGGCGTCTCTCTGTCACAGTCAAGTCCGCATCCCCGGCAGATTTAAGCAGCGGTAAATCGATAGTGATTAACATTTCCCTCGGACGAGGGCCAGGAGCTGAATCTCGGGAACACCTGTAGTCCTGCAGGTCAATGTACGACCTATACTTAACAGTGTGTCGCGGTATAGTTGGCTTCTTTGGTAGATCTGGGTCGCTCGCAGGCTTTGTCGGCTTCGTCGGTTTCCGTGACTCGCCTTGGGTACAGTCGTAAGGGTAGGGAAAACGGAGCGGATCGTCTGCATCGGTTTGCTTTGCCGGCTGACCAGGAATCGGCTTCCGAATTACACTAGGATTAGGTACGCCCTTGTACTTCATATTTAAAACTTTTACGTTGGTTTCGTCTAATTTGACACTAAACTGATTTTGAACGCCCTGAATTGCTGTGCTGTCCACCAGCTTCATAAACCTCTTGTTTTTCCCTGCAATATAAAGCGTATCGGGATGGAAAACAACGTCGTATATCATGTACTTGCCTTTGGAGTCCATGTCTGGCCTTCCCGGTGTCACACTGTAGGGCAAAGACCAGTGCTGGCCGACTCTCCCATCAGCCCCATTCCCCACTTTACATTCGGGTTTGGCGATTAATTCGTTGCTGCAAACGTTAATGAAACATTTCTGCTTTCCATCCAAGCTCGTTTTCAAGACTCGTCCGGGGTTGGGATGAACAAACTTAATATCCATACCCCTTTCCTTCTCCATTAGAGTTATTTCCTCTTCATACCTCTTCTTGTTCTCCGGGTCCAATATTTCCTCTGCATATTCTCTTAAGAGCTCTCTGAAATTATCATCTTTAAACGCATTACTGAAGCGATCAATTTCTTCAGGTGTTAAATTTAAGTCCTCCAGCTTGGAGTTTGTATCCATGCTGACACGAGTCGAATTAGTGAGGCTATTGCACTTGAAATTTCCTATAGTCTCAAATGCTATATAGTTGTACCGCCTCGCTCGTTCTGGACACAGTATGCAAAATCTTTCCACAGCAAATAAAAAGCCAGTTGATGTAGAGTTAGTCTGTACTAGATAAGTTATAATATTTTTGTTGGATGACGAAGATAACCTGCGCCGAATGTAGTCTGCTCATTGTTTACAAACCCATAGCAACAATACACTAATGTTGCTAAGGTAACAGTTGCTGCGGTAGATGCCGACTATGCTTTCCACAGGAAGTTGAAACATATTTAAATTTTGCTATTTATCGAAGCATAGTGAATTAAAAAATATTTTTTTGGCTAGCCATCGTAGCTTTGTTGAGAGGCATCTTTATTTGTTGAAAACACGTTTAACAATGTATAAGCATACAAAGTATAATTTATACAAGTTGCAAATCTAAACATTGGCAGTGTAATTTAAAAAATGAAAAATATGCAATATTACATTGCATACATTTTATACATAACTTGTTCATTAAACTTTGCAAGTTACTTAAATTATGATAAAGTCAATAAGGAGCATTTTAGTAAAGTATATAAAACACCAGCATATGAATCCTTATAGACATCCACTGTTGTGTAACCATTACCTAGCCTGTACGTTTTCCTGACTTTCTTTTAGCAATTCTGAAAAAGGAAATCCTCTTCTGGATGATCTGCATTAGCTTTGAAGGTAACAGTGACAGCTGGGTCTGTAGCATCCTCGCATTCCTGCCAATGCAGTCTTCACAAAGTCTGTGAGAAACAGACAGATATTATCAGCTATTCATAACCTCGGCACATCCCAGGAATTTCCCAGTATGCCAAACTGCACTTTCTAGAGCATGGCGGTATGCTAACATATATGCATGCATGAGACATCCAATAGCCACGAGACCTGCATGTGACATTGTCCCTGTTTGCCAAAACTGCATATCCACGGAATGTGAAATGGTAGTAAACAGCTAAAATAATTTCTTAAAGCGGAAGTTTGAGAGCTGTGCCTTCTCAAAATCTACTGTGATGCAGAGTGATACAGGGGACGTCCCTTCAGACATTGGGTCCTTTTTGTGCTGGAACTCGCTGCTGTTGGAGAGTGGTAGAGAAATAAGTACACAGCTTTGTACCTCAGTGCACCAAGATTTCACCTGCTGCCTGGATCCCAAGACCTCTGGGTTATACAATAATGTAATTTCACTATGCATTGCAGTTACTGGCTATAATACAGAATGTAACCCCTTATAACACTATGTATGCTTCCTGCTATTTTAATTATAAACGACGAATGTGGTGGATAAAGTTTTTAAACTGTGTGATATATTGTTGCCCTTGGCAACCAAACAATTGCAGAGTTTGCTGGGTGACCCAAAATAGCAGCAGGATGATAGGACAGACTAATCTCTTCCAGCAGAAACAGACTATCCAAAGGCCACAATTCGTAATCAAAGCTTTTAATGGCCATTATATTAGGGCCAGTCATTAGCTCTCAGTTACAGTCACCCCTGCAGATTTGTGAATCTGGCGTTTGAGGTTTTGATTCAAGATTCAAGAGGTTTATTCGTCACATACACAGTTGTACACATACAACGTGTAGTGAAATGTAACCCTGGTCTCTCCAAGCAGCTGTGCATGATTAACAAAATATAGAAAAAAATAAGGAAAAATAATAAGATAAAAAAAAATATGAAATGTTCAGCTGTACATAATCTATACATAAGTGATAGGTAAGAGGCATTTTGCTGTGCAGTATAAGTGCAATGTGCAAGAGGCCTGAGGTATGTGCCAACAATTTGGACAGTGTGAAAGCAGTACTCATAGGATATGTCATTGTTACAGTGACTGAAGAGTCACTGTAGAGTCCGGCGGAAGGCCTAGAGGCATTGAGTATTGTTCTGGTTTAGGAGCCTTATGACCTGGGGGAAAAATCTCCTCCTTGACCTTTCCGTTCTGGTCATAAGGCTGTGGAAGCGTTTGCCTGAATTCAGCAGGCAAAACAGAGTTATTGGGGTGAGATGGATCCTTGGAGATTTTTGTTGCTCTGGTCTTACAGCGGCTGGTGTAAATGTCCTGTAGGGAGGGCAAGGCAGATCTGGTGCAGCGCTCAGCTGCTCTAACCACCCTCTGCAGGGCTTTCCGGTCCTGTGTAGAGCAGTTCCCGAACCACGATGTGATGCTCATGGTCAGTATGGACTCTACAGTAGCCGAGTCGAAGTCCTTAAGGACAGCAGGAGAGACCTTAAACCTCCTCAGATGGTAGAGCCGCTGCCTCGCCTTGCTGACCAGAGTACATGCTTCTGTGGACCAGGTGAGGTCCTCCTGTAGGTGGACGCTGAGGTATTTGAAGGTGCTCACCCTCTCCACTGTAGCACCATTGATGTGGACAGATGTGTAAGAGCCCTGCTGCCTCCTGCAGTCCACAATCAGCTCCTTTGTTTTGCAGATGTTCAGTTGGAGGCTGTTATGCTGGCAGCACCTTTCCAAGTTCTCCACTTCCTCCAATGTTGGAGAAAACGCTGAGCACTACTGTGTCGTCAGCAACTGGTTATTCCCAGTTGGACGTGAATAATTAAATGAGAATGTTTTCGCAGCTTGCCAAAAGAATTTTGCAAACAACGTGCAAAAACAATACTGAAAATGATTTTGATCACAAAATCATATATAAATATTGGTGTTATGTGAATTTGTTAGCGTAAGTGCATTTGTCCATCTTTTAATATTAAACATCTTGGTTTGGCTACGCTGCACATCTTTGTCTCGGTGACCAGCCTCACTCATGTGTTAGCTCTCTGAGTGACTGTGGAATCTCGGCTTTCTCGCAGTAACTTTTAAACTTTCCAGTGCTGTTAATTTTCCATTTTTAATAATGGCTCCAAAATGTGGTGCTCCCACTGCATACAGTAATACCTTTGTGCATACAGGGCCATAATTTAGATGATTTGTATATTACATAAAAAGAACTAAGTTGGAAATGACAGAGCAATTTGACATGTATAGTGTACAGGACAGTACTGATTGTTTAGATATTGGTAATAAACAGAATTTGAATGTTATTTTTCAGGCTAACAGACTGTTTTGAGTTAGGGGTGAACAAGTATTATTCGCACATTTTCACATTCCTGGGGATCTTTGTCCCTAACCCTCACAAGTGAGAAGGGATGACTGTATATTTAATGGTAGTGATTTGACTGGGAGTATTTTACCTCTGCAGGGAGTATGGCTGTGTTTGGAAAACAAGTGCATCATTGCAGTGGCCCTAAGGAAGAACAGATATGGTCAGTCTGTGATACTGAGATTCGCCTCCTGAGACCACAGATTATGGCATAAATGCTAAACAACAACTGAGTACTTTCTCATATCTACAGTCTATTATAGAGCTGTTTGTGTTCTTTAGGATAAGCAGACAAAAGGCAATGTCACATGTTTTAACCTCAAAGAGAATATATGTATGATCTGTATCACATTTAAAGCTATTAAACCAAGTGGCATCTTGGCCTCGTGGCCCTGAGAATTTGACAGCATCATCAGATAATGAGTGTCCTCCAGTGGTTCTGATGGCACCTACTTTGTCCACTAACAGGATGTAGTCCTGACTCCCTCCAAACACAATGACGTCAGAGTCCTTCCCCAGACATGCTGTGTGCCACAACCTGAAAGTAGACGGTGGGTAGGAAGATGTCAAAAGCAAGTAACTCAGCATGCAAGTGTAGCAGAGCTCCGCATTAAGGCGTAGTTCATATATAAATATCACTTTACAATCTCTAAAGGAGTTCTTCTCTTAAGGGAATTTTAAGCCACATTTTGGGCAAACTGACAAATGAAGTCTGAGACATAATAATTTACTTTTGAGTTAACTTTATTCTACGACAATTTTTGGCACTTATATTTGTCTTGTTATAAATTAAACTTGGGTTTCCTTGGGAATGGTTTCTTAAAGACCACAGCAATGAGATCTACCATCTACCCAACTAATAGGAAACATTCCCAGAACTTTAGCTAACGTCATTTAAAGTTCTTCTCAAAGTTGGCGGAGAAGGTTCTTACTGTAATGTTAAGGGAACGTTACTTCCACGTTTTACCTTTTAACAAAGGTTTTGTCAATATTAGCAGAAGAATATCGTTACCTGAACATCCTTTAAACATGATGAATGTTGAAAAATATCATTTTATAATATAACTAATATTTTATAATAGGGTGGTATGTGTATACTGTGAATACGCCACCAAGACTTGAAGTGCCACTCACTGCTCTACCATGCCATTATTAGTATATTGTAGTATAATATTAGAATAGTATTGCTCTACTATACCATTATTAGTCTTAGTTGTAGTACTTGTTGTAGTAGTGGGGTGACATTCTCCAAACATCAGGTGAACTGGACACTTTGAACGTTTCCATACCTTAATCGTAACATTTGGTAAATGTTTCTAGAACGAAAAATTTTTAGTCAGGCAGGCTCAGAGCTCGATCTGTCACATGGCAGACTAAGGCTTTGACAGTGAATGGTACCTTGGTTTGTTCTTGTGCTTGTGTTCCAGCTCCTTCCACTCCTTGGTCTGGATGTTGAAGGTCCATCCATCACCTTGAGACATTGTACTTTACTTCACAGTACTTTATTTCAGAACCTTATCTGCCAGCCAACACCACCTCGCATTACAGAAGGTTGAAAAATTCTTCGTTTCACTTATCAATGTTTTACTGAAGAGAGGCAATGGTTCACTTGAATGTTGAATGTTAGAGGCCAATATCATTCATCTGTGCAGATGTCAAGCTTTTTGCCAAGGTACTGGCCAGTCGTATGCAGCAATTTATGGAGAAACTACTCCTCTGATCAGACGGGATTCATAAAACGGAGGGCGGCTTTGGATAAAGTCAGCAGGCTCTCGCACATTATTGAGACTGCTGACACCTGACCAAATGGCTGTGCTGTAGGTGTTTGATAGGGTACAGTTATCTATGGTTGGTCCCGGAGAGATTTGAATTTGAGACTAATTCCACCTCTTTGGTAAAATCTTTATATGATCATTCCAGTGTCACAATCAGTCAGTGGCCTTTCCTCTATGCAGAGGGACAAGACAAGGCTGTCCTTCTCAGCCTGCCCTTTTTGCTTCATATTTAGAAGCACTGCCGCAGGCCATTAGGGAGAGCAGGATAGTATCTCCCATAATGATAGACAGGTCTATGCGATATCTGTCATTATATGCAGATGATTGCCTTCTGTTGCTTTCTAACATCCAGCTGTCATGATGTCACATCCTGTCAATTTTTACACTGAATGACATTTAGTTGGCAGATGCTTATTGTGGAAAGCTACATACAAGCAAGGCAGATAATGTGTCAAGGAGCCAGCTTATGTACAAGTTCTGCTAGGCTAAGCTTGACCAGTAGCAGTTACAAGTTAGCAGTGGAGCAAGAGCTATATATTACCACAACATCGCAAGAATGTAAGAGGAGAGCTACTCAAATAAAGAGGACTGTGAGGGCTTGCTACTGAATTTGTTCTTCTTCCACTGAATATGGCTGCTAAAAATATTCACCTATTGGCTCAACTATTAGCACACCTTATGTGTTCACTGCTATAAAGGTTTTCTCAAGCCTTCACAGAAGAAGACTTTTCTGACATGAAGAAGAAAATTGTAGATGGTCTCAAGAGATGAGGCTCTATATGTTTCTTCACAAAGCAAGGTTTCGGTTGTCAAGATGAATATTTTACCCCGCAATAATTTTGTTTTTTACGATCCCCTTAGCTCCACCAGCTAAATTTATAGCCAAAATGAATTTTCTCATACCACAATTTCTTTGGGAAGAAAATTGTGCAAGGATCAACATACCTACCTAGCTATCTCAAATTTAAACACGTATTTTTATGCTTTTCAAATAGAACTATTGAATGTGTGGCGAAATCAGTCATAGACGGCAGCGTGTTATTTTTCTCAGCATTACTGTGCTGCCGGGTAACATTTGTAGTGACTGCATTTTGTTCGCTGTCCTGTGTAATTTGCTTTTTCAGAAAAAATAACAAATGCTGTTCACAAACAGCTGCTTCTGAAGGTTCTAAAGCAGTGAGGAGGAGGGAGGAGGTGACTTACTGAGTGGCTCACAGTTCACGCTTAGCCCACCGAAGAGGAACAAGGTGCTGTCGGACACGGCGGTCAGAGTGTGCCATGAACGTCCGATGGGAATTGTAGACGTAGGTATACTGTCAAGGCCCCAACATGGAAAAACATGTCACTTTATGATGAAAACCAACAGATTCTGCATGCTGCATTTTACAGTAGTGTGACTGGGTGTCTGGTGAACTTCATATGGCTCAAGATACTTATCTGTCATATTGTAAATTTTGAGTTGAAAAGTACATACACCAATCAGCCATAACATTAAAAACACCTCCCTAATGTTTTGTAAGTCACCCTCGTGTCACCAAAACAGCTCTTGTTGAGGCATGGACTCCACAAGACCCCTGAAGGTGTCCTGTGGTATCTGACAGAAAGGCATTAGCAGCAGATCCTGTAAGTCCTGCGAGTTTTCAGGTGAGGTCTCCAGGGATCAGACTTGTGTGTCCAACACACTCCATAGATGCTTGATCGGACTGAGATCTGGCGAGTTTGGAGTCCAAGTCAACACTTTGAACTCTTTTCTATGATCCTCAAACCACTCCTGAAGAATTTTCACAGTGTGGCAGTGCGCATTACCCTGCTGAAATGCCATTGCCATCAACGGATACCATTGCCATGAATGGGTGTACTTGGTCTGTAGCAATGTTTAGGTAGGTGGTATGTGTCAAAGTAACATCCACATGAATGCCAAGACCCAAGCTTTCCCAGCAGAACATCACCCAGAGCATCACACTGCCTCGGTCGGCTTGCCTTCTTCCCATAGTGCCTCCTTTTGCCACCTCTCTCCTTGGAAAACCATGCACACACACTCAGCCGTCCACTTAATGTAGCTGAAAACACGACTCATCAGACCAGGTCACATTCTTCCATAGCTCCATCGTCCAGTTCTGACGCTCACATGTCCATTGTAGGTGCCTTCCACAGTGGGCAGGGGTCAGCATGGGCACTCTGACCAGTCTGTGGCTACACAGCTCCATACGCAGCCAGCTACATTGTATGTTCTGACACCTTTCTATCATAGCCAGCATTAATTTTCTTCAGCAGTTTGTGCTACAGTAGTTCTCGGGACCAGACAGACCAGACAGTGAGCCTTGGGTACCCATGAGCTTGTCGTCGGTTCACCAGTATGCTTTCCTTGGACCACTATTGGTAGGTACTGACCAATACATACTGGGAACACCCCACAAAAACTGCCGTTTTGGAGATGCTCAGGCCCAGTGATTTAGCCATCACAATTTCGCCCTTGTCAAAGTCACTCAGATCCTTACACTTGCCCATTTTTCCTGCTTCCTACACATCAACTTCAAGAACTGACTGTTCACTTGCCCCATATAAAAAAGGACCTTGACAGGTGCCATTGTAACAAGATAATTAATGCTATTCATTTCACCTGTCAGTGGTTTTAATGTTGAGGCTGATCGGTGTAATTGTGTCTATTTATAGTACTGACACAGTGAACAATTAGTAATTATTTTTTGGCCACTGTTGCCCTGTCTACCCAACTGATAACAATAACTGTACTGTACTTCAATGACACAACTAACTAGTGTTCATTACAGATTTACAGGATGATACCACATAACGTGAAACAAAGAAGGATTGTTTTGAAGAGATTTTAAATTGTTTTGTCAGAAATCCCCATTTAACTACTGCAATGGAATGCCGCTTTTAATGGAATGACTGGAATGTATTGTATGGCAGGAACCTAAATTACGTGAAGGCTAGGTGACCAGTGACTAACAGCCATGCAGTTCTCCACCCAATAACCACTTCTTACACTTCTGTCCATGTCCAAGACTCAAGATCCAGGCAGTGGATGTCGCATCTCCTGGTCTCCTGAAATCACAGCAGAGACACTAAGTCCTTGTGAGAAAAACTCTACACTCTTAACCCTACACTCTTAACTCTACACTATCAAAGGAGTTTCCTTTGCTGCTCTTTCAAAGGTACTTATAGCCCAGCCACTCAATTACCGCCTGCGTGGAGCACTGCCATGCCTCATTAACTGCGAACAGAAGAGGACTAATAAGCAGAAGCTTTGGCATGTGAGGCTCCGCCGTAACTTGCGGTGAACTTTTCTTCTCTCGGCTGGAATGTGAAGGAGGGCCGTCTGTGGGACTCACCACCACTCTGCCCCCGCATATGTAGCCTTTGTTGCCCAGGGTGGCACTCGCATGGGCAGCCCTCGGAGCAGGTAGAATACCCTGCCAACACATGGAACAGAAAATGCTGCAGATGCTTTCTCCACTGGCAAAAAGCCAGTAACATTCCACAGTTATGATTCATGATGTCACGATGATGTCATTGTTAGAGCTCAGTTTTTTTTTTTTTTTTGTAGAAGCATGTGAGTTTTGCAATACCTGAGTGGGAGGTTCGCTCCAAGTGTTTGTCCTCGAGTCAAAAACATGGACTTCGTTATTCCAACCCCAGAACACTTCCTCTACCTGAAACGTTAATTTATGAATCCATTTCTTATTCGTAGTTCACTTCTGGATGCACATGAGTGGCCAAATGCAACACAAAGTCAAGAAAAAAATTGAAATTTAGAAAGGGGCTGGTTTTTACCCAGGATGCCTCATCCACAATGAAGCTCTTGGAATCATTGATCTCTCCCAGTCGCTTGTGGCCATATCCACCGAAGTAGATGAGCCTGCAGTACAACAAAAGGATAACACAAGAGCGTGTCGTGTCAGACATAAAATGTCCCTATTGTGAAAACAGGCATCACAAGGGTGGGAGGGGCGGGGAAGGAGGCGATGACAGAAAAGCAAAACATTTCTGCTACACAGTGGTGTAGCCATACACGGTGCGTAAAGTGTGTACACACCCCCATCATGAAAACGTGAATTTTTTTTATGTGAAATTCAGAAATATTTGCAAGACCTGTGTTCCCCATTATTATGAAATCCCGTGAGTCGTTAAAATGCATCCTTCGTTCATGATTAGGAGTCTACTTATTTATACATCTTGAAACAGTTACTAACAGATCGTTGATGTTTTGCGCACACCGATGGCAACCAAATATTCCCATGTACTGTAAGGAATTAAAAATTGCACAGCAAATAGACCATCAGTTTACTGTATTTTCGATTTCAACATCATTCTGAAGTTCAGTTTTCAGCAATTAAAAATAAAATCACTGCAAGCACAACAAATTAGCTAAAACGTCTGCGGTTATTTTGAATATATATAGTTCATTGTTAAAAACCAGTTCTTAAGAAATGCGAAAGTAGGTTGGGCCGTGTCGCAGTTGAGTGTACTGGGAACTAGGAAGAGAAAGGCTGGACATGCACGGCACGCACCCCCTGTTGAAAATTCTTGCCTACGCTACTGTTCATACATGTGGATACTGTGTACTGGTATCTCTGTAAGCGTGTGTGCCCTGTGATGAACTGGAATTTTGGATACAGGTACCACCAGAACCATAATATGCACTGATTTAATTGGACATTGGGCTATCTAGCACAGCATCACCTTCACTTATATTCTCCAGCTGTCTACAATTCCCTGGAGGATGTGATGCCATCATTCCATGGAAAATTCCTTAGTCTGATGTTCCTTTGTCAGTGGTGGCAGAAGACAAATTAATCAGTTGAAAGTTGGATTCAGATATGGTGGCTGGGTGTAACTGTCATACTCAATTGCATGCTGTGTTATTATATTATTTTGCTTTTCCCAATAAAGTCTGAATTAGACTTCTGCATTGAGCCTACGCCATGAACTACACAAGTGGCCAATGCCATTGCGAGCATTTATACTTGTGCGTTGGTGTGTCTGTGTCACTCAGCAATTACAATGCTAGGTGATACATATGACAACATAGTTTTGGATGCCGCATTTATTGTCTTGCCACCCTGCCTGATTGTTGAATCTTGCAACCAAAACAGAAAAAAAACATTTAATGAAGTACCCATTTATCAAGTCCTGGTTATATGTCTGTTGCTCAAAATTTCCAGTAGACAAATTTGGAAAAATTGTTGAGCTGATACAAAGTCACTTTTTATGCATTTTCCCTTCTAAAGTTAATATCTATACTACCTTTTTTTAGTTTTGAAATGTACAAATAAATTTAATGGAGGTAAGTGACATTGGTGCCGTCATCCTGAGCATTTTGTAGACCAGTTGCTGCAATGCCCAGGGTGGGTTGTTTAATGCTAGATATAAATAGCGCTTCAGTTTCAATCAGCGATATAAGTACACCTGGGATGTACGCTTTCTTCCCTCTCATAAAAACGCGAATGCTGCCAAGTGGACCAATCACAGTTCTCGTAGTCTGTGTCTCCATGACGTATAGCTACATTTCAGGGGAGGTGCGTGTCAGGCTCGGTGACGGCTGCGGCATAGGTTCCACGGCTACACCGTACTTACAGCGTCAAAGCAGAAGCATAAGTCAGCCTTAAGGGGTTGAGCGGACCACAGTAATGCCAGGAAAGTTCATCCAGAGGTGTCCAAAACCTTCACCATGGCATATAAGCACTCGATTCTATAGGCTTTTCTTGGCTTGTGTCACACATGCACCTTTGTGGCTGTCGAGCATTGGTTGGATGACTCATCTACCATATGACTTCATTCCGCTGCTCAGGAAAGCATTTTGTTTCACTTTGTTTGTGTTTTAGGTGTAATATGGCTTTTTTTGTACCACGACTCCACCATTGTGTCAGTCTCGTTAAGCTCTTGACACGCTCCGCATGATGAACGGGCCTTTAGACCGTTTAAGGATAATCAATTCCAAGTCCTTTGCTACAATTACCTTAGTCACCATTTCTCAGGAATTATCAGCAAGTGCAGAGTCACTGAAGTCCAGGTCAGCAACCTCCTCCTCTTTTCGCCAAAATCACAGACAACATAGAAATGGCTTAAAGCATGATGGGATGCTAGCTGCTTAACTTGGAGGCCTCAGATAACCACAATCAATACATGTAGTATCCTTTGTTTACTGAATGCTTCATTTTGACAGTGGCTTGTTCGCGTTGTCTGCATTCCCCACTGTCCACCACATTCCTCTCTCATGAGAGTGTATTTTTAAGGTATGTAGGTAAGACTGTAAAAAAAATTCCCTCCCTAATGACAGGGAGAACATATCATTCCAAACACAGAGGGTTGGACAAACTTGCTGCAGTGTGCTAGTTGTGGAGATGCATGGTCTCTTTACTGCTTTGGCCCCCAGAGACACACAGAGCCCAAATACATCAATAATTAATGTAAACAGGCAGAAATTTTGAACCTAGAAAACTGATACACCCAAACAGAGTAATGGTAGCCAAACCAGACAACCAAGGCGATTTCTGAGCATTGCAAGCGATGATGTTGGTTTCAATGGGGGTAATTCGATGTAAAAAATCTAAATGATTTTGAATCTCAATGTACAGCCTCCTCCACAGTAGCTCAGGAGTGGTGAATAATAGCACACAGCTCCATAGCTCCTCTTCACTCTACAGGCTGAGGGCTCCGTCAACCAAGAACACGCATGGAGGAGAGCACCGTTATTCTCAGGTTCACCTGCAGACGTCCAGGCACTGAGCCAGCGGTAAGAGCAGCTGTCGAGCAAAGGGCGTCACACCCAACCACCAAGCCCAATCTGATAAAATGAGACATTTTTTTCCTGCGCCTCCTCACTACACGTGGCTAACTGTGCACAATGGGGACCGAAACTGTAGGACACACATTTTGACTGGCAGAGCACCGAGGGGGGGGGACATGGTGCTATCCCATTTCAGATATTAAGCAAGGCACAATTCCATTTGCTGTGAGGCAACAGCAACAGCAGACACTGGCAATATACCAGTATGCATAAGGAAGAATGACTGAAATGACTATTGGAACACTTAGGTAATTCTCATTGTTTACTTAGTTATGACTAAGGAAGGCAGGGAGTTAAATTTTAGATGCTACTGTAAGAAGCAAAGATTATTTATAATCCAGAAACACTGCAGTAATGCAGTTCAGGCCTTGAGGGCCTCGTTATAGCATAGAGATCATCATAGCCGTTATAAAATTCCGACTATAACATAAATTACCTCCAGTTCTTGCAAATAACTGAAGCAGTTACATATTAAATATGGATACATGTGCTTTTCAGATTAATTTGCATGATAATTATATCATAGGAGCAGAACATATTTGATGGGGACAAACTAATGCTGGTCTGCAATGGTCCACACAGAATTTGGCAGTATTCTAGTCTTAAAAATCAAGTTGTAAAACTCATACTGAATTAATTCCCCTTTGCAGCCAGATTTATTTCAGCTGTCACAATATATTTCCAAGTAGTTCTGAAATAAATAAATATTAAAACAAAATTACTGGCCCCTGGGCATTGTGGCTGTCTGCCATTTTATGTTGTTTTTTTTTTTCTTTAGAACTGTTGTTTATTGCAGCAATTTTAATCAGGAAAAAAAATCAGACCATATGGACGTAACAACTGAAGTAGCAGCAGAGCGGTGAAGCTGAGACGATGACACTTGAATGAGCATGTCGTGAGTTTCATTTTATTAAATCATAAAGGTAGGATGCCGGAATCAACCAGCGTAAATTTAGGACATCATATCACCATTTTAGAAAGTAGCAGCAGAGGTACAGTTACAGCAGGCAGGCTGTTAGGCGTAACGGCGTCTGGGGTAACCAAATGATTTATCTACCAAGCTAAAAGGTTTTGGCTGATTCAATAGCACGCATTCTGACTCCATTTCAATGCTCTCCACAAACAGAAAAACACACCAGTGTGTCTGCATCTTTTAAATGACTATTAGTGTACCAGAAAACACACATTTATATAACGGAAATGGTATCTTTTATGGCCACTTTGTTTTGTGTACAAGTCCCCAAGTCATTAAAGTGGTCGATCACATCATTTATGGTCAGGTCTAAGTAGTCCAATAAATTCAGATGCCTGGAGATCTTACACTGGTAGGTCTAGTGATACAAACTGTGGCAAAAGGGCATTTTTATACCATTATAATACAGTTCTACCTCATGTCCGACCATCTAGCATCCTGCACAGCCCTCCATACTATATCAGAGTAGACAAAGGAGAGGCAAGGATTCGCAACCTTTCCAGCCACAAGGCCTGGCTGTAGTCCACAGGGCTGGATCCCTGAGTAAATTTTCAGTTTTTCCAGCTGGCGATTGGGTGTCTAGAAGCCCATTGTGGACCAAACTGCATTTCCCTAATCGAGATTAGCGGCCCACTAGAGGCCTCCCTATGGCCTGCGGTCCAGTGGTTGAGAAACCCTGATACAAGGGATACATAAAATGACAGACAGAGACAGGCCGAGTAAATCACTGTCTTTCCAAGGCGTTCATTTTTAAAGAGCTGATGCAAGAAAAGAGCAAATTCCGTACTGCATGAACTCTAATGAAATCGAATGATGTAATTTTACATTATTGAAGAGATTTAACTAATTTATTATCAACATTAATTTGTACTTATGGCTAGAGAAATCGTGCCCTGAAATACTGAAGCTGAAATGAAACTCCAGGATATCACCTTATCCTGTGCAAATGGAGCGCTGAGCTTACCTGTCATCATGCACCCAGCAGGACAGCTTATCCCGTGGTGTGGGAGATAGCCCTTTGCTGTTCGTTACTTTCCTCCACGTGTATTTTCCATCCAGAAGATTGACGTAGTAAATCTGAAAACAGGTCATTTTAGCCTCACATCTCATCTGAGGAGATATTGTCTAACAACAAAGCAACCATTTCATTTTAAGCACTAATTCAGCTAAATATTAATGGGGTCAGTTATATTTGATCCCACAACCTTCTGGCCACAAGCCCAGACCCTTAATCATGATGCCATCTTCTGTATGTTTGAAGAAAAGGAAGCTAATACCAACTTCTGCAGTAAGTGCAAACGGGATATTTTCCCGATGCCAAAAATAAGTCTGCAAGTCACCTGATTGGTGTGGCCATGGTCATCACAGCCTCCAAAAATGTACATGTGACCATTGAGAGAGCTGCCACAGGTGCCTGACATGGGCGGCGGAATCTCCCCCTCCATCCTGTGTGTCTGCCTAACAAAACAAGCGCATGCATCACATGTGCATTACAGCAGCAGGAAATATTCGCATAAGGGAAGCCCACATTGCACTGCTGAAATAAGTAAAATGGCAACATTTCGAGCCTGTGATGCATCTTTCACTGGTCTGATCTGGTCTGAGTTACATAGCATTATTTTATCGCTATTTATCCATAATTTATCACTCTGATATTTATTTATTCAATCATTCATACTATTTACATGCAAATCTGCTGCTTCCATCATTGCCTAAATTCTAAACATAAATGTTTATATCTACCTTGTATATTCACTTATGTTGTTATTGTTGATATTTTGTCCTGTCTGTCTGCATTTTATGTATATATATAGCACCGTGACCCCAGGGAAGGTTATTTTGCATGACCATATGCTGTGTTACTGTCTATGGTTGGTGTGACAATAAAGTCCCTCTTGATTTGACTTGACTTGATTTGAATGGATGGTACCTGCTTCCACGCCTACACGCTTTTTTAAGGGAATATGCCTCAAGCGGAGCAAAAGTCCCTCGGTTCAACCAACAGCCCTGTACAAAGTGATGAAACGGAAAGGACGTCGCCAACTAACCCACCGAATAGAATTCTCAGGGTTAGGGTGCACCTCTGTTTGGCCAGCACACCGCTCAAGAAACCAAGGGTCCATCCATTTTTAATAACCACTTATTTGGTCGGGGATCACTGGGTGTTTACATTCACTCAGTCACCGGTTCATCTAAACTGTGCTTGTGTTACCTATAGAGAAAATCCACACAAACAAGTAGAGAAAATGCAAACTGTAGGCCAACAATTACCGAAAACCCTCGTGTTGTGAGGCACCAGATCTACCTGCTGAGTCATCATCCTCTGCCTCAGTGAAACCTGATTCTTAAAAATCCTATCAGAGTAGTAAGCAATAACATATTTATATGTTTATTTTGAACATGTCAAATGGACCCACTCCCAGACAAATCAAATAATTTAGCCCATATGACCACATTCAGCAAAGCCAGATAAAGCAAAAAAGCAAGATATTACACTAAAATGAACAGTATTCAGTTCCTATCCAAATATGTTCTTAAATACAAAATACTGTTGAAAGTATTTTTAAAAGACATGCATCCTGTTTTGAAATTTGCAGTTTGACATACACTTGTGTATTTTATTATTTAGAAAGAAACTGTGATGAGTACAAGATGTTTTCAATTACCATAAAGCACTCTGCGTGTCATACAGCCAGATCTCATCACTGGGGAGGAAAACTTCATCATCACCAACTGCCTACAGAGGACAAATGATAATTGCATATATTTTTTATTTATCAACACGTATATGACACTCCATGCACACAGTATGTTCATACATACACACATAGCTCAAGGAAGTTTGATTACATCTAAACTCACTGCACTATTAAAACATGCTATATGTGGCATGATCTAATAGTATCATGTGTGTGCAGCTGTTCATACACATACAACTTTTTCGGAAATAAAAGCGATAGACTAAGTTGACTTTTAACATCCAAAAAGCATGACGGTCGTTCATGACCGGGTTTACATTCCCGCAGGTACACTGCACGTCCACCATACGTCCAGAAAAAATCAGAAGAGAGCGAAGAGTCCGCGTTGTTTACATTTGTTTTGCTTTGTTGACAGGACTTGCGCTTACCACGTAACCCCCCCACACATACAGAAAGCCTCCTTCCAGCAGAGCCGTGTGGCCGCTCCGCTCCCGGGCCACGAGTTCGGTGCCGTGCGGCTCGCCTGTCACATCCATGGCTCTAATCCGATCCGGACGTGATTGCGGGGAGATCGGAGACGCATCGCAGCGCCAGTGCAGCGCCTAACCGCTCGCCTATGACAAACATAAATATGTTACAGTATGACAGCTGAAAACAGCGAGGGGAGGGCCTCTTACGGCAAGCGACGAAGATCATACGACATGCCTGCACAGGGCTTTCCGTATGGCGAAAAACATGCTACGATTTTTACACTTCTGCTTAACAGAGACGTTCAGCAGTGGCGTATAATACACGTATTTTTCGTTTCATTGTCTTTTTCTGCTTTTCTCACAACCGATCATTCTAAAAAATAAAGTTTACCATTTTGATTCCTTCCGTTTTCTATAACTCATAATAACTGTATTATAGTTTATAATTTAAATATGATTGTCGATGATTTATTTAGGCAATGATGAATTAAAATATTAGTTACCTTTTATAAAATGTTTTATGTAGTGTATGAGTCTAATATTAAAAGGCATATAATATCTGTCGTGACCATAAACCCATGGTCCACAGGTAAGCGTGGTGATAATGGGATTGCCCCCTCTGGCTCCGTCGAGACGGGCGCTAGGACCCCGCGGACTCCCATCGCCAAACTCACCGCAAAAGAGGCGGAAGTGCGAGATTTAGCGCCAACTGTTGAAGATGGAGTCGCACAAAGTGAAGGCGAAAGTGTCAGCAGCTTTCAAAATGCGGGGACTTATTCTTCGCCCGTAAGTTTTTTGGGTAACGATTAAAGCAGATAATGGCTGGACTACATATGCAGCCTGCCGTCGTGTTTTCGGAGGGTTATTATTGACTGGAACTTAAGACCCTGACCTTAAACTTAATCATGCCCCAGTCTATCCCAGTTCATCTCCACAGATACTAACGGATTAATATATAAAATATTCGTAGTATGATATGTTAGTAGCATGCAGTTTTTCAAAATTTGCATGACTGCTTTTCACGCGTGTGTATAAACATAGCTTATTATTGTACCTAAAGTCCAGCAGATAGTTAATGTTCTTCAAGTTATTACCATAGTTTTCTCTTTAATCTTCCTAACATTTGCAAAGAAGTATCAATATAGCGCTCTGAAGGTTAAGCACTATAACTGGTATTAACTAATGGGAATTTGGACAGAAATAGAGAAAGACGGGATGACATGATGCACATCTACAGCAGCCCGACTTATAATTATGGAGGTGATTTTTATGTTTATTAATTATTAACATTTTTTTCAGTGACGCCAGCAGGTACTTGGTGGAGGTGTTGAGTTCCGTGAGTGAGCTGGAACTGGAGGATGTTCTCGAAAAGGTGTTGGACGCTGTGGAGAAGCAGCCGCGTAAGTGACAGGCAGAGGCGGTCTTTTCCTCAAAGGTGGCGTAATCAGTGACATTTGCTCGCACATCACTGGAACTGCGCAGTTTTTGCATGGCTCCTAACCTCCCGTCCATCCACAGTGTCCTCCAATATGATTGAGCTGTCCTTGGTGGAGATAGCGGTCCAAGAGTGCAGCCAGTCATGTGACGAAAACATGTGAGTAGATACTGTCGTTATTTTGTCATCCTGTGGGATATCTTGGGCTCTAGGGGATTTTGGATAGCTGCATTATGTAAAACATTAGTACTTATTATGCATGCTTTTAAAATTTAGGTTACACTTCCAGCTGTATAATATTAACTTTCATATTATTTTCTGACTCCTCACCTCTTTTTTTAATGTGCATTTTTTTTCGCCAGAGATAATGTCTTTAACATTATTGGAGCTTTTGATATCCCAAGATACATCTATAACGGAGAGAGGAAGAAATTTATACCGTAAGTATAGAAATTAATTGTGAACCTTAGGTGTTATGCAGTGATGTTATCTATGCAGTGATATTTATGGGAGACACTTTGGTGGCGAAATGCACACAGGATCAGTAGAAAGAGTGCTGGATTTCACACAGTGCCTCAGATCTTGTATGTCAAGAAATTCTGACCCAGTTTTTCCTCTGCAGCTCAGTCCATAAATTGCTTGCCTTTGGATGGAGGCTCTGAGTATGTTATCTGATGATTAATTGTGTTTTCTGCTGTAGAGATCACAGATGTTCTTCCCTTGCAGACTCGCCATGTCCAACCATCCTACCCCAAGACTTTGTGGAACCCCAAGGGACAAGGCAGAGCTATTCAGAGAGCGTTACACCATCCTGCAGCAGGTCTGGGTCCTGCCACGTTCTGCGAGTTACCCGCTGCACCCACTTTCACAGGCTGCCCTGTGCCAGTCCTCTGCCTACAGACCCTGCCATCTCTGCTCCTCAACACCGGACTGCCTTCATCTTTCAGCTTGGCCTCCATCTGACCTTCCATTCTTTCAGCTTCGCCTCCTTCTGCCACGGCTCCAGATCCGCGGGCATCTTATCGTTTTATTCTAATAAAAAAACCAGGACGTCAGATGGGTCCACAGTGCCCAGCATTTCAATGACTTTTTACTTCCTGCTCTCACAGCGTATACACAGACACGAGCTCTTCACACCCCCCGTGATCGGATCGGCCCCGGAGGAAGGCCAGAACAAATTCCAGGTAGGCGGTCGGGGCCTGAACACGAACCCAGCACGGCATATGCTTTTGGCCGGGTTTTCCCTTAGGGAGGGGGTGACCGTGGTTGGATGGCTGCCGTTTCAGTTGAGGACAGTGGAGGCCTTGCTGGGAAGCACAGCCAAACTCAGGGAGGTGATCGTACTGGGGATGGTGACACAGCTGAAGGAGGTAGGTGTGTCCCCCCCCCCCTCCTTTGATGTCACTTCTCCCTTTGGTGTATTTTGGCCAAATAAACCAGCTCATCGTTTAGAATAGAATAGTAAAAGTTTATTAATCCCTTTGGGGCAATCCTCTTTACCTCCTCTTGCTCTCCGTAACACGGACATGCAGGTGAGAGCCAGTTTGGGGTCACAGCAAATGGTCCTCAGACATTGACTGTTCCAATCTCCGGTCCTGAGACTTAGCCCACTGAGCCACACGCCACCCCTTCTGATTTCATCCACAATAAGGACTGCAGTGCTGCTCAGTAGCTGCATTCCTCATTTATGCTCCTCTGGGGGCCGTAGCACCAGTCCTGGCCCTGGGTCGCCGCTCTGGATACGACACATGTTGTGTCAAGGCCCCAGAATTCCCTAGACCTGGTTCTGTACCTTAGCACATGGCAATACATTTACCCCCCCCCCCCCATTCCCCACACCACCTCTATCCCCCTCTACACACTTTGGTTAGCAGTTATTGGCTAAAAACTGCTACACTGAGAGATTATATGCTGAATCATCCAGTTTACTTTCTTTTATGAGTGTCTTTTGTATTTGTGTGCACATTGTATATAAAACACGTTTAACTTTTTTTGATAGTCTGGCTGGTGCTGTTTTTGTTTTTGTGTACTTCCTGATATTGTGTCGGTGTGTCGCTCTATTCAGTTCATGACTGCTTCCGTCAGTCGTTCTCTTCCTGTTCGGTTTGCTCTTTTGTAACATTAAACACACACAGTAATTTCATTATACTTGTGTTCGGTGTATTGCCATTAATTTCTCTTTCTGAAGGACACACCAAGACCAAATAGGAATTCCAGAAAGCTACGACTTTGTAAACAGTGATCGTTATGTTGATCACGAATTCGCCCCAGACTTCGCCATCCTGCTCCCAGAAAAGGCCATAAAGCTGTCATTTGTTCATCTAATGCTGTGATCCTAAGTGACCCGTTAGGTGTGCAGTTTATCTCCTTAAACAGCCGGCTGTCTGGTGCTTGGGGCTGTAAGAGCAGGTGCTCTGCCAGAACATGAAGCAGCAGTGCCTTTGAAGTTGCGAGTTCAGTTTCTAGATGTGAGCTTTAATGCTGAAGTGGATCTCTAACCTCCCTTTTATGTCCTTTCTTCGCTTCTCTGAACGCATTAAGGGCAAATTCTTCTTGGAGGACCCCAGCGGCACAGTGCAGCTCAATCTCTCCAAAGCAATATCCTTTTCCCAGTATGCTGTGGGGGCCGTAGTGTTACTGTGGGCAGCTCCAAACCCACAGCATCGCCGTCGCTGAGACAGTCATACCCCCCTCCCCCCAAGCATCTGATTAAATATGGAACAGCCGGGTCTCCCTGCAGAAGGCTCCGGAATGGAGCACGATAAAGGTGCCCCTCCAACTCTCTCTGATGTCAGAAACCCCCCTTAACACCATCCCCACCAGTTCCACAGCGGTCTGTACACAGAGTCCTGCTTCGTCTTGGCGGAAGGTGAGGTGCAAAATCCACTGCGCTGAGATTAACAACTTGCTTGTAGAGGTTTATTTGGTCAATACTCATTTTAGCTGTAAATATTCATACCTATTGTTAGAGATTAATGAAACACCATTGTTTCTTGTGCTGTAATTGTATACATTAATTCTCACCTGGCAATGCAGCAGAGTAAAGATTTGTGCAGGAAATCTGGGATCAGTTTCATTGTCTTCCGGAAAGAAACACAGTAATAATTATAAACAATGCCATGGGAAGGGGTTCTCAGTTCTGCCCCAGCCCATTGTAAGTGCTGTGGCTTGGCATTGATCCCACCAGTCTGGTCTCACACCACCTTGTCTCGTTTCGTTAGGCTGGTATGATGACTCCATCTTTCACGTCAATGCCTTTGGCTTCCCGCCCACCGAGTCGTCCACCATCACCAGGTCAGCTGACAGCCCCCCCCCCCTCCATCACGTACCATAAGTGATGCTAGAATCCCGTTAAAGTCAGTTACACAATTACAGCACCTTTCTATGAGTAATTTGAATCCTCCTCTAGATTTTTTTTTTATGTAATACTTTTAGATTAGTAACATTTTTATGCAAATCGGGATTCCAGGTCAATAACACCAGATCGACATACAGTGTCTAATACACGCATTGGGACCTGGACGAGTTTAACAAAGAAAAAAATTAATTATAAAAAGCAAAGAAGAAATGTAGTAAATGAATAGCCTAAAGGATTGTAGATGTATGTCTGGAGGCAAATAGAGTCGGTCTATTCATATAGCAGCCTTGCTATTTGTGTGTAGAGGTGAAAGAAATCTCCAGAACAGTGATTTTTTTTAATGCTGGTCATATGTGGGCCTTAACATTGCAGTGGGGTTGCGGGTCGCATTTGATTCACAGAGGAAATTCCTGCCGTAGACCATAATAGTAGCAGACATGTTGTAGCCGAGTAGCAAGGTCTGTTCAGCAAGCAAACAGCGTCATTCATGTATCAGATGATGTACCAGACACTTTGCCAGTTACCTCCTGTATAACAGAGTATAAATGTACATGCACTAGACCAGTGTTTCCCAATCCGGTCCTCAGGGACCCACTGCCGGTCCATGTTTTTGTTCCCTCTGAGCTCCCTGGCTGACAGTCCATATAGGGACTGGGAGGGATCAAAAACATGGACTGTCTGTGGGTTCCCGAGGAAGGGATTGGGAAACACTGACCTAGACTGTTGAAAAACCAATTGCTCAAGCTAAAGGTTTGTAATATTTCTATCACTTGGGGGAGGGGGGGGTGTTGAATTACCTCAGTCTTCAAACGTATGCAAGGTATCCAATACCAGTACAATGTTATCATTCTCGTCCTAGTGACAATGTGACAGTGCCTGTTGGGGATATTATGTAATGAGCAGCGATATCATTGACAAGCAAAATGAGCGCGATAACATATCTGCAGTGTGGAAATACTTCAGAGTTAACAACAAAATCCAGACCGTAGCAGATTGTAAACTGTGCTCTAGTAAACTATCAAGAGGAGGTACAAAGTCAGGATTATGCGATACTAGTAATCTAATTAAACATCTAAAGCTAAGCATAAGAGAGTATGATGAAGTTGCCACGAGCAGCAACTCTGCAGCAATCAAATGTGCAGCAAACACTAGCATAGAGAGAGAAAATGTCAAATGATAAACCTCATGCAGTGAAAATAACAAGCTTTAACGCGGTATCGATCAGGCCCAGTGTCGTAATGGTAATACATTCTTAGGTGGTACGCAGTATAAAAGGTTTGTGAACCACTACTTTAGAGGTTTTAGAGCGGCATGTTATTAAATCATAACCTGCCGATGCATCGTTCTCCACGGAAACTAAAAAACGATGATCAGCCCACCCAACCCCCGGGTGGCAAGTCTTAACGCCAGCTGTTTGTTGGATTGTTTGTGTCTCATTTTTTTCAGGCTTTCACATTTTTTCTCTGCAGAAAAAAAAATTAAGTGCCCCAATTGGTGTTGCAGTAGGGGGATTGTTTGGGGGGGGATTTCAGTGTTATTATTTATCCTAATATTTTTAAGTTAAAATATTATTATTATTATTATTATTTTAGACAACGCACAGCACTAATTGGTATCAGTATTTGTGAGTACCAGTAAGCAACCTCTAGCACTCTTGGTCTGAAAAAATGGCGTCTCTGGATTCCTAAAGAACCGCTGGAGCTGTCGTGTTTGGTATGATCTTCAGCGTGGATGCTTATGAAGTGTGCTGAGCCGGGCTGTCTTGCCGTCTGCAGGGCGTATTTTGGGGACATTAACTTCTTCGGTGGCCCCTCCTCCACGTCAGTGAAGGCCTCGTCCAAGCTGAAGAAGCTGGAGGAGGAGAATGAGGACGCCATGTTTGTGTTCGTGTCGGACATGTGGCTGGACAGCGTGGAGGTGATGGAGAAGATCCACACCATGTTCTCAGGTGCCTCTCCCAAACCCCCATACTTCAGTGTATTGGTTGGCTGCATTCTCTGTTTACCCATTTTGTTTTAGCTCAACATTGCCATCTGCTGGATGCCTTATGTGCCAGCGGGTGATTTTCTCACGGCAATCTTACAAATTTAATAATACATTTTGTTCCATATATAAGTATTTGTTAAGGAGAATAATTTCAGTCTTTATACTGCATTTTTGCACTGACAAACAAACATGTACTGTAGGCAAAAAAAAATCTATTTTGTTTTTGTGCCGGTGACACTAATGATCAGTAATGATCTGCTGAATAGCCTGACCGGCATGGTAGGTCAGTCTATAGTCTGTTTGTTGCCTCCAGGGTTGGGGCTTTCAGCCTCTGCTGTGTGTGTACAGATCAGTTAGGTGGGAATGTGGGGCAATGAGATTCTGCAAACCAAAATATAAGCCATACTTTTCTGCTTGGCATTACACTGTTTTAACTTTTTGAGCTGCATGTGATTAGGATTATATAAGGAATCCCCTTTACACACACTGTACCGCTGATAATGCAGGCTGGCTCCCGGACCCGCTTTTCATTCCTCTTTCCTCCCTGACGGTGCAGGATACTCTTCCATGCCTCCCACCTGCTTCATTTTCTGTGGGAACTTCTCCTCTGCCCCCTACGGCAAAAGCCAGATCAAATCTCTGAAAGGTGAGGAGCTTACAGCGCTGTAACCCATGGCAATCATGCCTTTTTTATTTCTTTTGCTGCACCATAAAATCGAGCTGCTGATTTCAAGCATGAGCCTAGCCTCTCTTGGCCAAAGTCTGCCTTTTTCTCCTCTCCCAGAATCCCTGAAGGCTCTCGCTGACATGATCTGCGAATACCCCAACATCCACAGCAGGTGAGCCTTTCAGGGAAGTCGCTCTGGCCCTTTGGAGCCGTGCTCTGCGACTCGCGGCTCCTTCAGAGCTGCAGCCTGGCTGCCCGTTTCAGTTTGGGATTTAATTAGTGGCCAGTCTGTGCTTCAGGCGACTGGAAGGAGAGGGAGCAGGTTTGTGCCTCGCTGATGTCAGGGACTGGAGATAGAGACTTGTGACTTAGAGAGTGACCTTTGACACACATGGGTTACTTTGAATCCTTTTTTAATTCTGTGCCTGTGTATGCATTTGTTCTTTGTGTCGTGTGTCTTGGGGGAACTACAGTAAGCATTATGGCATTACTGCATCAGGTATTTCTATATCTCAGAATGGCAGAATTCCCCCAAACGATTAGTCACGTCCGTTAATCTTTTCTGGAACGTATCATAAAACGTTCAGCTTGACACCGGTTTTAATGGGACCTGGAGTTCACAAACTGGAGTCCGTTAAGTGTGTGCAGTCTTAATTGGCTTAATCAGCATCTGAAGGGTCCGTGAAATGTGTAAGGTCTTGACTGGTTTAATCCAGCAAAAATTGAATAAACCACAGCTGGCGCTGGGTAGCAGATATTAAAGCAGCTGCTCGCTGCCACAGACGGGCGTGATGAACTGTGACATCTGCTGTTTGGCATTTTCTAGTCCGTGTTTTAAAGACCTGCGTTTAAAAGCGACCATGACTTGTGCTGCCTCTGACACAAGCTTCTCTCTCGAAAAACAGCAGCCGCTTCGTGTTTGTCCCCGGTCCTGAAGACCCGGGTCCTGGCACAATCTTACCCAGGTGGGACTGGCCGTGCATCGCTGACACTAACAAGAGGCTTAGCCTGACTCTGATTACGAAAATTTCCTCAAGGGTTATGACTGCTGTTTGGTAGTGTGTGCATTCCTGGGTTTCCTTGAGTTTGGCGTAATGTGCCATTGATCTTTATTAATAAATGTATCCCAGCTAGGGTGTATCTCTGGAAGAGGTGTTCCTTACATTTTATTTATTCAGCAGACACCCTTATCCACAGCAGTGTAGATTTATTTTGTTTGTTTTTAGAAAGCAGGGTCAGACAGTCCCTGGAGCCAAGTGAGAGAGTTTGATGTTGGAAGGCACGTAACTTCATTTAAATGCATAGGTCTGTTTATTGGGGGGGATGAAGCCAAGTGAAATATGGGGGGGGGGGCACATCCCCCCCGTCCCCCCTGGTTCCTACGCCCCTGTCTGCAGCAAATGGGGTTTACGGGCCTTGTTAAAGAGGCCGACAGTGAAATCACTCAAGCAACTCTGGGATTTAAACTGGTGATTTTCCAATCACAGGGCCAGCTTCCTAACCCGCTCAGCCACACAGTACCCCTGACGTAAGCAATTTACTGGGATAAGAGGCTGGACGTTTTAGTAATACATAAACCTGGGGTTCTTAATAGGGTCAGATGTTCCTTAGTTTTTTAGCATAACAAACACGTCGGCCATAACTTGATTGTCTTAAAGAATCCGAAATGATATAAAAAATTGGAGAAAGTATAATCCCAGCAATAATCCAATAATACCGACTCCTGCTGGCCATGCAGCCGCCAAGTGGAAATCCTGCCTCGTCTGAGCATCTCAGTGGGTTTTACAAATGACAGCAGCGACGGGCGTTAAAGTCCAGCAGCTTTTATAATGGCTTCCTACCCTTCGTGGTGACGTTTGCTCCACAGATCCCAGTGGGAGAGCGAGACGTTAGTTGTTTGATGTCATGCAACATTAACTTTTATTAGCAAGGACCGAAAGCAAAGTGGAATTTGTGTCACTTGGGCAGTTTTTGTGTGCAAAGCGGATTCCTTTGGATAGGTTGTGCAAATACTGGCCTGAGTGTTTATAATGAATCTTTGCAGGCCCCCTCTTGCTGACGACATAACGGAGGAATTTCGAAAGAAGGTGCCTTTTTCCGTGTTCACTACTAATCCATGCAGGTAAACTCAATTATTGTAGAAAAATTCGGGTTGCCTGTGTTATTCGGTTGATCAGGTTTTCATTTATTTTTACTTTGTGTGTTTTTATTTTGTGAAATTCTTTTCACTTTGAAAAAATAGGCGTTCATGGTCTTAGCCAGTGTTTCCTAACCGTGTCCTCAGGAACCCCCAGCCGATCCACAGCTTTGCCCCCCAAACTCCCGGGTTGGGAAACACTGGTCTAAGCATTATAGACATAGGTTAGAAAGACCTGCAGATTTCCTACACCTTCTCCCTCTTCCCTCTCAGAATACAGTACTGCACCCAGGAGATAGTGGTGATCCGTGAAGACCTGGTGAACAAAATGTGCCGGAACTGTGTGCGTCTCCCTAGCAGCACTATGGACATCCCCAACCATGTGAGTTCAGCATCTCTCGGCAGATGCTGTCAACAAAGCATTTAGATGAACTCTGTTCAGTTTTTTTATGTTCATTGACGCAGTGAAAATGAGATGATGACACTAAGCCAGCCGTGTCCTATACACCAGCCCCCTCCCTTATCCGCAGGTGATGCATTCCAAGATCTACCACGAATAATAGCAAGTCATCCATGGACTCTATATACAACTGTGATTTTCATGTACATACATGTAGCAAAGTTTAATTGTTAAATTATGCACAGTAAGACATCACCAACATTAAATACTATAATAATAAAATTCATTGTTCATAATTATACAGTACTGCACAACCTCGTTCTCAAGACACGATGATGGAACAATGAAAATCATGCTTTTTATACCCCTAAAGAGATGATGGAACAATGAAAANCATGCTTTTTATACCCCTAAAGAGATGATGGAACAATGAAAAACAGAGGCGACTCATGGGCATTGCCGCCATTAAATCGTGTCCCCCTCACATTTCATAATTATTCACTTGGATCTCCCCACATTTAACATAAAATATTAGTTTTATGCCAGTGTGTCCCCACATTCAAAATGCTTCTGACGTCCCTGAGGCGACTGTTACACATTTTACAGTGAAAATCATTGTACCATGTACAATATCTGAGTATTGTGGGTACTCACCGTCTTACAGTCTGTACTTGCTTGGTGTGCTGTTTGAAATTTATGAATCGTTTCTGGAGTTCTTAAACTTTTTTTGGACTGCAGTAAACTGCAGGTAACGGAAACCGTGGTAACGGAAACCGGAGACACGGGGGTCCCACTGTAGTAAATGCACTCACGCTCTGTTCATCCTTGCACCCCAGTTCGTGAAGACCATCTTATCTCAAAGTCACCTGACGCCCCTGCCGTTGTACGTCAGCCCAGTGTACTGGGCATACGACTACGCCCTGCGGGTGTATCCTCTGCCCGACATGATAGTCTTTGCGGACAAGTATGACCCCTTCAACATCGGCAATACTGACTGTCTGTGCGTCAACCCCGTAAGTCCTGCACATGCAACCCCCCTGCCGCATCCTCTGTGCATAAGGGAGTTTGGAATGAGACGTAACATTTCATGGTATTAACCCACAACATCATAAATGCTACAGTAAAAGGCACTTTTGTCTTTTTTAGGGGTCTTTTCCAAGAAGCGGGTTTTCTTTTAAGGTGTACTACCCTTCCAGTCGAACCGTGGAGGACAGGTATCTGCCAAGTTTATTTGCGTAATGCATTGTATCAGAGATCTACATATTACCATCAAAAGTCTATCCAGAGAAGAAACACTATAATAAGTAAAAGGAAGACCTACCTACCATTTGTTTTTGTTTTTTTTTTTTACAGCAAACTTCAAGGTCTCTAAATGACAACATCACTACCAACAGAAATGTGGAGCTTCCATGGAGCAGCATTCTGTGTTGCAAATTTGTAGTTATGTAAAAATGTGTGTGAGTATGTGAACTCAGTTTTTAATTTCAGTATTGTCGTGTGTTTGTAATAAAGGTTGGTGTACCTTTTGTTATAAGTAATTGTTACTGGTCTGTGTCGTCATTCATTTTTAAAAACAAGATTTTAATAAAATGTTCAGTGACTTGCAATAAAAATTGGAATATTTTTTCATTCCTTATTCGTATACCTTGGCTCTTTACATACATTTACCTGCAAAGCGCAATAAATATCCTCACGTTTTCCAGTCACAGTTTCTGGCTGTTGGAGCCTGTCCCAGGCAGCACAGGGCATGTCTGCATAGGATTTCAGTCCCTCAAACGGCGCACACACACCCACACACCCGCTACTGAATAATGAGACACCAGTTAGATTAACTGCAAGCCTTTGGACTGTGGCTGGTGGAAATCCGTCTGACACCATGCACACAGAGGAGACTGGACAACACAATGGACAACTACACAAGCAACACATAACGGATAACGACACACAATCTAATATAACTTAATTTCTTCCATCTGTAAATTATAAAAAACATCTGTACCTCATGGCACATCTGCACCTTACCTTGTCTGCACCTTATGGCACTTTATTTATTACATGGTAAATGCATCTTTACCTCTGTATATATATGTATATTCCTCCATTAGTACTTATATACTTATCCTATGTCTAGCACAGCTGGAGTTCAGCCAGGGAAACACATTTCACTGTATGCTGTACCAGCTATAACTACATGTGACAAATAAAGAATCTTGAATCTTGAATCTTGAGATGGGTCTAGTACCCAGAATCACTATGGTACCTCATAAATATTAATACTATTATCACCACTACCGTTCAATTGACGTGTGGGGTATTATATTGACCTTCCAAACATGGTCGACTCGGGGGGGCATGACTTTGACATCACTTCCTGTAGGGCCTCCTGAAATGAATTCTTTAGCCGTGTACTTCCAGTGTAAACAAGGCGGCAGGTGCGGGACGGCGTATTCCTGAAAAACACATTTGACTTCCTGCAACATTTGTGAGTGTTCCTCCTGTGTCTATTTCTTTTTGTATTTTACAAACACTGCTGTTTTTTTTTTGCAAGTGGGTGAAAAGCTAACGTTTACCAAATGGGCGAACTTGAAATTAAAACGTCTATTGAGTTGTTACTGACTGCATGCCTGGCGATAACTCTCTTTAAGATTAGTGTGTCGGTCGATAGAGTAAGTGGTAGAAATATGCTTGATTTTTCAATTGAAAGTAACTTCTTAGCTAAGTACTACTATGACTTTCCAAGCATTGTCGATACTTTTTTGGATATCTTGTCGTATTTCTTAAGCTAGCTAGATATCTTGTAATATCGTATTTTATTCATCGTTAAAATGTATGTGAGACAACTTTGGAATATGTCGTCTCGGAGCTATTACCAACTATGTAAAGTGAAAGGCTGAAAGAGATACGTTAATTTTACTATAATATAGTCATTCGTGATTAAAAAAATTTCCGCGTTCAGATCAACTTGGGCATGTTGCCTGGCGTAAGGAAGGTGTTTTAGCTTTATTGTATGCTGCGGTTTAAGTGATTTGTGTAATATGACTTATCATGCCTGTAATTTTGAGTTTTGTTGGAGCCTACGAAAATGGCAGTGAAATAAACACATGTCCCCCGCAGGACTCCATGGCTGAGGAAATGGACGAGGACCCCGCATACCAAGTCGTCCAGGAGGACGAGGAGAATGAGGAAGAAGAGGTGGATGGTGGTGAGGAGGAGGAGGAGGTGGATGGCGATGAAGAGGAGAACGTGTTTGACTGGGTGGTCGATGAAGAGCTTCTAGATCATGAGTTGTCTTCTGGCAACGACTCCTTCGAGATGGACACTCCTGCTGAGCGTAGCGGCCATATTGCCGTAATGGATGGCAGTAATATGTATGTGTGGGGGGGATACAAGGTATGTGGTGCCTTCATCTTGCGCCGGGGGTGGGGGGGGGGGGTGGTGGGGTGGGGGGGGTGCGCGTGTGGGGGGGGGGGGGGGGGGGGGGGGGGGTGTTTTTTTTGAGTCTGAAATGCTGCAGGTGTATTGTGAAGAGACACTCAGCATTTGTGTCCTTATGAAATGCACATGGAATCCTTACATCTCCTATGTTTCAGACTTTTGAAATACTACCCCCCCCCCCCCTTTTCTCTTGCAGAACACACAGACAACAGGATTCCTTGATTTCTACCTTCCAAGGAATGAGATTTGGATCTACAACACAGAGATAAGGCGATGGTAATCAGATTCCTTATGCTTATCCCTGGTTAGGTCATTAAAGCTGTTTGACCGTTGTGCAAATGATGTCCTTATATGTGGTGAATAGCTGTCTGGAATAATGGTAGCAAACGCCAAAGCTACCCGTGAGGTATGCCAAGGCCAGTCTTCTAAAACTTTAGTCACGAAAGGATCCCATGGTGTGCAGGAAGAAGCGGGTGACGGAGGGCGATATGCCGCCCTCCATGTCTGGCAGCTGTGCCGTGTGTGTTGAGGGCGTCCTCTATCTCTTCGGTGGCCATCACGCTCGTGGGAACACGGATCGGGTGAGCTCTCCGTCTCATGGTCCTTTTGTCTTCAAGGTTCTGACACAGTGATATGATGCATGCTTTCGCTGGGAGAAGAAATGACCAAACCACAGACCAATCTTGTAGCATCTGCACTCATGGCACCCCTACCTCCAAAATACATATTCCTTCCTCTTATGCACTTGACCTGTGTACTAAAATGACTGAGTCATGGTTATGACTCACTGAAAAAAGTAAAACAAAGCTGTTTTTCTCATTACAATAGCTGAGAATTATTAGGTTGTTCACTTAAACTTTTAAATATATGGTTATTATAATAATAACACTTTACTGATCCCAGTGGGGAAATCCTCTATTCGCCAACCCCATCTTTCTCTCCATGACGCACGCAGAACACAGACACTTATGTAGGTAAGAGCGAGCCTGACAGTGAAGGGCAGCCACCCGCAGTGGCGCCCATGGACCTGGGGGTTAAGGGTCTTACTCAAGGGCCCGCAGATGTAACTATTCTGCCAAGGCTGGGCTCAATCTGGCGACCTTCCGATCACGAGCACTTAGGCGTAGCCTGCTGAGTCACATGCTTAGCTAGTACCTATTTTTTTACAGGTCAAACCAAATTTTGTTTTTCATTGAGTCCGCATCAAATATTTCATGTGATTGATCCATTTTTTTGTTTGTTTGTTTATTTTCAGTGCAGACTGTCCATGTCCTTTCCTGCCCCTTTTACCGGACTTTATCAGACCATAGCAATGAGCTGTAATTAAAACTGTTTACTGGGCTAGGGTAGGGTTACTCTGTACTTGCCAAGCACCAAGTTACCCCCCTGTGGTGCATTGCTTTGCTCTGCAGTTTTACCGTCTTCCTCTGAGGACGACTGAGGTCCTGTGCTGGGAGAATATGAGGAACCTGAAGGGCTTGGCTCCCACCTGCAAAGACAAGCTGGGATGCTGGGTGCACCAGAACAGGTGATTTGCCTGTTAACCTAGCATGTGCTCCTAATTCTGTGATATGATTACAACGTGCAGATGATGTGAAACTCCTTCTGTTGTCTGTGAAGGCTGGCTTTCTTCGGGGGATATGGCTATGTCGCTCAAGGTGGCCATTTGGGAACGTTTGAATACGACGAGTCATCGTTCTGGGTAAGAAGTCTGCCATATGACAAGGCAGCTTTCTTTCACAGGAAGTGGGTCCCCGATTTGTTTGCCACTCAGGATGTTTTTCTCTGAAAGAAAGCAAACCCTGGCCACTCTTGATAGGGGATGTCCATTTTTGACGTGTTAGTCTTCATTTCAGCTAAGGTTAGATTTGGATTAGGAATCTATAAGATTATTCAGTTGGAAGTCCCCAGAAAGAGAAGATTGCAAATGTGTGCTGGAAATGTGGGAAGTATAATTAACTGTTTAATTGTCCCATTGAACCAGGATTCTGCTACATTTAGCAGCAACTACTTGCTGTTTTGCATACTAAGATGTAAGAGGTTTATCTAAAGATGACTGAATTTCATGTGTGTGTTTGTGTTTTTGTTTGTTACCATAGGCAAATGGTGCTGGGCGGGGTTGGAACAATCACATCCACGTCCTTGATCTGGACACGTTCACCTGGAGTCAGCCGATCACAAAGGTATTCCATCTCTGTCCTGTTGTTCACCAGGTAGCCCCTATTAGGACAGATTCAGCTCTGTCTTGGAGTGGAGTGTATTGTTGACTGTCCATAAATGCAGCCTACCTATGTTTGGGTTGAAGGTATTATAGGTATCAAATTAACTCGCCTGTCTCCCTCAGGGAAATCCCCCTTCCCCGCGGGCTGCTCATGCCTGTGCCACTGTGGGGAACCGCGGCTTTGTGTTTGGGGGCCGCTACAGGGTAGGTTGTGGTTTCCACCAAGAAGGTTACCGATATCCTCATTCCCTCATTCGAGTGAAATCGGTCTTGCTGTATAGATTAATAACTTCATAATTGTATTTCATGGATGGGGAATACTTTTGGTTTCGGGACCGGCTGCCACTGCAGACAGTATTTGACAAATCTTTGTCAAACTTTCCCCACCTATTATATGGGCGAAGGCATCAACTTTTGAAATGCTAGCAAAGGAAGGAAAGAGCAGATGCAGAAGATCCTTCATGTCGTAAAGACAGTAACTCTTAAGGTTTTCTTCAAGCTTCCCATGAAATGATCTGGAATGTAATTCATTTTGAAACAAATCGCACCAAAATTTAAGCAGTATTGCTTAATGGTGGCTTATGAAAGGAGTGATCTGGTGAATCTGATTACACTGGAAAGGTGGGGAGTGTGTGTAGTGGTGGTAGGAATTGTAGAGGTTGGGGATGTGAGAGGAGTAGAGATTAGATTGGGGGGGGGGGGGGGGGGGGCATGGTCATGCAAGGAATGCATTACCATTAAGAAAACATCCAGTTAATAGTACTGTCTTTGTTCTGTAACAGGAACATCGTCTGAATGACTTGTACTACATCAACCTGGACACCTGGGAGTGGACTGAAATGTATGCGCTTACTATCTATTTCATTTCCTTACATTTTTGGGAAAGTGATGTAATTTAGCTGTACGATTAGCAAAAATGTAGTCCTTGAATGGTGGTTTGTCTCCCTAACCCTGCACCCCCCTCCCAGGAGTGTCCCCCAGCAGGGTCCAGTGGGCCGGTCCTGGCACTCCTTCATCCCTGTGTCACCTGACCACATCTTCTTATATGGTGGCTTCACCACAGACAAACAGACCCTCAGTAAGCATGGCGGCTGTGCCCTCGAGCTGTAGCCATTTGCTGCTTTCCTCCATCTGGATCTGGATATTAATGTCCTTTAATGGGGCTGGGCCAGTATGCCCCCCACCGCCATGTAGGCAGTGGCTGCCTCTCATGACCCCCTTTCTGTACATGCTCATGCTTTGCTGGTTTGTGGGGGATGTGTACTTTTATGGGTACGAAAGAGTAGAGCTTTGGGTTTTGTTTTCATTGGGCCGGGGCTCAGTTTCCCTGGTGACTGTCAGCTGTGTGAGTGTGATCACCTCCCTCCTGCAGGTGATGCCTGGCTGTACTGTGTGAGCACAAACGAGTGGAAGTCCTATAAGCACAGCAACACGGAGAGCCCCAGGTGAGTCATCGGTACCGAGATCTGGGTCTAGCTGCATTCCTAGTACTAGTATTTGTGATTAATATTTAGACACACACTGTGTTTACAGTAAAGTACATTTGATTATATGGATTATATGGAAACCGAATGCGGGGTGGCGCTGTTGCCTCACACCTCTGGGGGCTCCCTTTTCAAGTTTCTGTGTGTGTGGAAGCTCCTCCCATAACCGTGGAGCCGTGTTCTCCCGCTTAGCCTTCCTGAGCCTCCGCCTTCTGACTCTGCCCCCAGGCTGTGGCACACGGCCTGTTACGGGCCCGACGGCGAGGTGTTTGTCTTCGGGGGCTGTGCCAATAACCTGCTGTCCCATCAGCAAGCGGTGAGGGGCCATCCTGTGATGCACGCTGTAGGCTACACAGTGTTTTTTTGGGGGGGACGGAAAAAAAGCTCACATCTGACCCTGCATGTAAAGGAAGTGACTTGTTTTTATACGCATTGAGCATTCGTTTATAGTCTTAAGTATAGATAACGTCACGCAGTGTCCCATTTGCTGCTGTAATGCGTGTGTGTTTGTAACAGTGTGACACTGCTGAATACAATGTTTAAGCATGAGGGAGGGACTGGCAGTAACAAATTCACTTCCTCCCTGCAGGCTCACAGCAACGAGGTTCTGATTTTCAGCGTCCAGCCAAAGTCTCTCGTGAGGTGTGTAGAATCTTAAATTTTATATTAATGATTTGACCTCAGCACTTGTGATTTGAGGATTTATGTTGATCATTTTGTGATCTGAGTTGTGGACTAAAGTCTGAGAATCCTTCTGTGCAATGCTAGTTTGCGCCGCTTAATGAGGTCTTATGCATGGACACCTGGTGATTGATGCAGCCTCTCTCATTTCTGAGTTGTTACAGTGGTATATGTGTTAATGTGATTGGTTGAATGTTTGGGTTGAAGACACTTGGTTTGCTTGGTTGGGACTCTGCTCGTCAATATTTGCCTTTGATGGTTTTTGCCTTTTGATCCTCGAAAGGAACTCTTAGAACACCGAGTTTGTGAATTCTTTCAAAAGCGTCTTTAAGTAGTGCTAGCTGGTGGTTCATGTAGTGAAATGCAAATAGGCCATCAGTTCTCTACTGGGAGAGCTCATGTCACTTAACTGACATTAACCTGAATAAATTACTTAAGCAGGGAGATACCTGAGTTTTTCCAGTAAACTTAGTGTTGTGCATTTGCTGCTGTATCATACACGCATTCGCGAGGGGGGCTTGGCTGTGAAACAGGTGTTTGGCTGCTTCAGCTGCCCTTGATCTGCTAATACCTTCCAGGAAAACATGGTTTCCAAGGGAGAGCCAGAACCAGTAGGTGTCTGCACAAGTATGGTGCTAATTACCCATAATGTCACGGATGCTTGTGAACATTTTTTGTGACCAGCATCCCTGGACCAATTGTGGTTAAGGGCTCAACAGTGGCATCCCTCTGCTCACGAGATTCGAGCTGTGACTTTCCGGTCATAGTTAAAGGCCTAACCTGAATGGGAAACCCAGACTTTTAAGGAGCTGAAGGGCATTGACCCGATACAGGATGTGCATGGATGTGATGCTGGAGCTTAGCCCTGACCCCCTCCCCATGCTTCTCTCGCAGGTTCTGCATGGAGGCGGTCCTGCAGTACCGGGAGCAGCTGGCTGGCTCCTGGAACCTCCTGCCCAAACACCTGCTGCACCGCTTGATGCCGAGGCTGGGCGTCATCAACACGCTGGGCTCCTAGGCACCTGGCGCCCTGGGAGATGCAGCAGCACGCATCTGCGTGGAGGCGCGGCCTAGCAGGGTCAGCAGCCTCCGGCTAGCACCGGCTCGTCGGACTCCGGGTGATTTCCAGCCCCGGCTTTTGGACATTGGGTCGACTGGGACGTGGTCTGTAGTTTTTTTTCCTTTTAGTATGTGCTTTGATTGTTCATCAACATGGGTGAAATTTGGACAGAAGGCATCAGGTCTAGTGTAGCTGAACCTAAATGCATTGCTCTGATGCAGGAGGTGAGTAACCTGAACCACACTTAAGGAATGTCTAGTTTTAATATGTATGATGTATGAACATATTGGTTCTGTTTCCTCATGTCTGGTTGTACTGCTGCAAGCCAATCAAACCCCTGCTGATGGTGAAAGTGGGTGTGGCTAGGCCTGCCGGTTTGCCTGTCTCTGTAGCTCATGACCGCTTTAGCCTAAACTGTAGTGTTAATGTGATGTTCTTGCAATTGTGACAATGTGGGGCATTTGCACTAAAAGCTTTTACTTATTATCCAGTGTATTTTTTAATTTGTCAAATGCTGTAAGTACTTCTGTCAATTAAAAGCAAGTGTTGAATAAAGCAAACACTGTTGGTAGTATTGATCGATATCCCCTGGCTTCCTACATGCAGGTGTTGACAGGCATTTGAAAATGAGGGAATGACTGTAACCGTACATTTCAGTAGATTAAACAATTTATTTACAATAAGCACATAAGCCTTTGGGTGAGTCTCATTTCCTCTTCACAATCAGGTTGGGTGCAGAAACCTTCACTTTGCCTGGCATGTTCCTAGACAGCTCCGAGTCCTAAAACACAATTCCACTCCAGTTTTCATTTCCAAATCCACCCACAGATACCAGTCAATCTATACCATCAGTGTCAATACTGTGCTTGTTTAACCATTTGATACTGAAAAACATCCCAAGTATTTCGCCAAAAACCTACTCAGCCACTTCCGTCTTACACATTTTGTGCATCTAAAACTGTACATGTGCCTTCCCCATCAAACACCATCTAGCAGAGAGGCTAGAGTCCTGTACGGGCCTGAAATTAAAGCCCAAGCCTGAGTCGGCCCATACCAGAGACAGAACCCGACCCGGCCCGAACAGTACTAGCAAATCTAAAACCTTTTTTAGCATTTGTGAGCTTTTCCTGTATTTCTTCCATTGCTAGTCAGACACATGGTAGGCAGCTAGATCAGAGAAGAGGAGGGGTGGAGGGGTGGAGATGGAAAGCACAAATAAGCTAAGGACCGAGCAAGTAAAATAAAAAAAAAAAAACTGACCTGACCCAAAGATAAAAAAAAAAAAAAGAGTCGGTGCCTGATGAGCTCAGGTCGGTTCCTGAGGCACTGTACCTTAACACTGCGGAGGAGGTCCTTCTCCCGGGTCGTGGTCTCCCTCGCACGCATGAAGCTGGACAGTGAAGCCTGGGCCGCTGTAGGGAGGGTCACATGGTTACTTGTGAGCTAGAACAAACATTATAGCCGTGTCATGCTCTCAATTCCACCAACCTTTCCCTTTCTTCTGCGTGCCAGGAGTCAGCTTCACCTTGTGCCTTAATAGACAATCAGAAATTCAGTTAAATTTGTTCTATGCGTATATTTTAAGATCCAACGCATCAACCACCCACCACCTTTTACCTCCTCGCCTGTCGTGTGGAAGCCTATTCCACAAGCAATAGCATTTTAAACCGTGTTAAGCACGTCTGTCCAGGATATGAACCACAAAGAGTGTACAGCCGTTCATACTTGTAGTTGGTGAGGGCTGTGTAGGGGGCACAGACGGGCACGGCGAACAGCAGCACGTCTTCTGGGTGCGGCTGACCACTTAGAGAGTCCAGCAGGTTCGCTGCATCCTGCAAGGTCACACAATGACACAGATCATCTCTAAGAAAAGAGACCGGAAGCCACCGCAAGCTGGTTCAGTCACGCAATGTTGTCCCTCCACTCTTCAACCTGAACATCGGCGTGAACAGGCTTCCTAACAAAGGCCTCCAGAAGGAGTGCAGCAGCCACTTCGTTTCAGGTCATCAGTCACGACACAAGATGCTGCCTCACCTCAGCGCCTGGATTCTCCTGATCTGCGTCGTCAGCGTCCTGCAAAAGAGGAGCATGAACCTTTCAGCCTCACGCCAACCTCACCTACGATCATAAGCAAGAGTCAGACATTCCCTACACGGAGCCACTCCATTCTCCTCACTTTAGCGATTTCCTGCTGAATAAAATTTGACTTCCTGTCAGTAAGAAAGGAGTTTCTATACCATACGCCCCAGCTGCTGTACCACGTTACCCCTATGCTGTACCTTGTCATCCTGCTCCCCCGCCCGGCTCTCCTCGTCTCCTTCCCGGGACTCGGGCTTCTTCGGGACTCCCCCCTGTGCCCGGGGTTTCGGCACCGGTTTCTCCTTCCGGCTGAACTCCTCTTTCCCCCTTCCCTTCTTCCCCTTCTTCCCCCCCTTCTCCCCCTTCTCCTCCTTGTTTGATCCGGCTGACTGCAGTAAAGAGGAAACAAAGCCGATGGCATCGCAACAGACTCGCCGCATTCACGCTAACTGGACCACGGCGGTCGCATTTCCAGGGCTGTCCTGCACCACAGCGCACCGGGGCGAGATCAAAACGTGACAAAATGCCCTCGTGTGCAGAGTCATTAATGCCAGACGTGCTTCATGGTGACCTGCAGGAAAAGCCACACAACCTACAACCATTTCCTGAAATGTGTCTCGGTCAACTGTTTTATACGGGCTGTGTGTTGGGGGATATTAGCATTAGCAGCTGATTCAAACTTGTTCTAAACAAAAGTACCAATTACCAACTTTATAACAGTATTTAGGTTAAAAAGTGAGGAAATCTGCAGCCACTCACTCCCAGCAGCTTCATCATCAGTTCCCTGTCTTCCTCATCCTGGTCTTTGTACTTGTCTTTGATCTTCTTCATCTTATTCTGCGGGATTGTAAAAACACAAGGGATAGACAGGCAAGGTTGTAGCATGACTCAGTTTTTCTTTTTTAAGTTTGTGAGGTTTTAATGTGTCCCAAATCAACAGAGGCCTTTCCTGAGCACTTACCTTTTGACCTCTCTTCAAGGGCTGCTGGGATGCTCCACCTTTACCGGCAGTCAGCTTGCCCTGATTGGCTGCAGCAGGACACGCCTCCTCACTCTTCGTATCGACCCCCTCCTGATCTTCATCGCCATCCTGTTTTTGCTTCTTTTTCTTCATTTCCCTGAAAGGCAGGGGCACATGAGTCAGAGATGCAGACCACTGCCTGATGGGCAGCACAGGAACTGGCTGTTACCGGCTGTACCCACCTCCTCTGCTTAGCCGTCAGGTGTTTTCTTCCTTGTGCTTCTCCCTCTGACTGCAGGGAGACCAGCAGTCATTGCCCAACTGATACTGACGAAAAGAAACGCGTGTACTCGCTGTCTCGACTTTGCCTGGAGGTGGGCAGACGGCTGTGTGTCACTTACTTGAGTCACTGACTCTGCTTTGAACGCTGTAGATGTGCCTTGAAATGTCCTGGCAGGGTACCGGGAAGACAGGAAACATCATAAACATACCAGAGCTGTGGAAGCCACAGTGCTGTTTACTGAAACAGCAACAAGAAGTTACTCCAGTGAAATACAGACTCCAGTGAAATACAGCTGAGAGCTCGAAGCACTTATGCTGCCTGACAGCTGGGACTGATGCTGAGACTGGTGATGTTACCTGTTTGGTAGCAAGTGGGGCAAAGGAATGGTGGTATCAGGAAAGCTGATCTCCACCTCTTCAGTCTTCACCTCTGCGTCAGCTTCCTGTCCCTCTTCCTCGCTGCTCTGTTCTTCCTCCTCCATTGCCAGCTGCTGCTCACCCTCCTCGTCCTCCTCGGCCTCCTCACCCATGTCTTCCAGCTCTATGGAGTCGGCCTCCTCATTCTCATTCTGCCCCTCGTCTTCAGCGCCCGCATCCTCCATCTTTACCTCTCTCTCTCCTTCGTTCTCCCCATCTTCCCCATCACACTCATTGGCACTGTCATCCCCTGGTTAAATCAAAATAATTATTAATTAATATGCAGGCGCAGTGCGTGCCAAGCCAAACAGCGAAAGCCCATCTGTCTGTGTAGCCCCGTGCTTATACACTGTATGAAGTCCCAGTGAATTACCTGTGATTTCCTCCCCTTCAGTCAGAAGCTCTGCAGTGCTGCTGGTCACTGACTCCATATCCTCAGCCAGGGTCTTCACTTTCCTCTCCCCCTTGTGTCTCCACACGCACTGCTCATCCACCTGCACGCGATCACCATCGACATCATGATGCCTATTCAAGCTCACGGAACCCAAGTCCTCTACACCTGCGTTTCTTGGGGACTCGCAGACAGTCCAGATTTTTGCTCTCTCTCAGCTCTCTACCAGGTTCTCAAAAACATGGACCGGCTGAGGTTCCCCTGAGGACCAGGTTGGGAAATACTACTCTACACAACGATCAGCCAGAGTTCAGATCTTCTCAGAATTATCCCCCTACTGATCAGAAACAAGATTTTACTTTGAAGGAAAAAGTTCACTGTCATTTCTTTTCCTTCAGGAAGAATTTCCAGACACACCATAAGTTCCCTTTTTATTTACCTTGAATAGGAAGGCGAAGCCCATCATGAGATACGAAGGTGGCAGAAAGTTCTTCTTCCCTAATGGGTGAGGTAAGAGTCACCCAGCCATTAGCTTTCAGTGTCAAAGTTAAGTGACAAACCCCGCACTTCGATACTTAAGATAAAAAGGAGGTCTTATCCAGTCACAACATTTCACAGCTACAAGGTAAAGCATGAGCTTTGACAGGAAGAGCAGAGCTTCTCACCTCGGATCATGAAGCTTCCAGTGCTCAGGTACTCCCCCGTAGGAGCCGTCTTGGAAACCTGGAGGAGGCCAAGGAGGGATGAGATTCCAAGCATTGACGAAAAACATTGACCCCCATCCGAAAGATCCAGGTCTCACTGGGACCCACCTGGTTATGGTGCACCCACCAGGCACTGGTGATGACCTTGGCGTCCCAGGCTGCGCTGTAGCACACAGCCATGGTGCCTGCCTCCGTCAGGGTCCGTGGAGGGATAGGCTCCCCTGCAAAAGGAAAGGGGGAATACTGCATGAGTCAGGATCACATGCCCACCAGTGAGTACAGCATCCCTCTGCCTGATGGGTCAAGCAGCTATGCATGGATAAACCTCCATGTACCAAGCACTAACTCAGTAAGAGAGATAGTCACAAAGAGTTTACCTACTTCAGACAACTTGCACCCATTATTCTGGGTGCAAGCAATCATGCAACAATCAACCAAGCAGAAGCTCATTTTAAACATGCTGATGGCCACAGAAGACCAGGACATACCCGTTGGGTTCTTGATGACGCAGCTGGTGGCCCCGTGAAGGTCTGCGTGCACATAAATGTCACCTGCACAGTACAGGGGACAGACAGATATTCACTCATGTTCACTGTCCAAAGACTCCAAGCCAGGGACGCAGCAATAAATTCTGGGACCCCTGACAAAATGTCACCTTGGGCCCCCCCGGCCCAAATCTGCCAGTGTATCCATGCCCCTCCTATGCCCCAGCGGTAAGCTCCCACA